CCACTGGGGGAGACAAAGGCGGTCGGGCGTGGTGCTGAACACCCACCCCCTCGTGTACCTTGCCGGCCCTCATAGGTGCATCGCTAACAGCACTTGCCCCTACAGTCTTGTGAGAGTCTACACGGGGATTCTTTGTTGTTTCATCAGCCAGCATCGTTCAGGCCCTCGGATCACCAAAGCACTGCCAATGAACGTTTGATCCTCATGATTCAACGCTTTGCCCGGTACGTAGAGAGCCACACTAAGACAACCGATTGAGAATTCTCAGAGCAACCACAGCGGCGGCGTACCAAGCCAGACTTAATGGGCCGCTTGTTTAAACAGAAAATCCACTTGAGGTTTCGGGGCAGTTGTTAACTCGCTGGTCTTGTTTCAACAGTGCCTAATGTTGTTCCTCCTTTTAAAGGGTCACGAATGTCCTCTGTTTATTTGTCGATGAGGTTTTTTTTGTCCATTCGCTCCACTCGTGCTATCGACTCAACCGCAAGCTCAGAGAACCTCTGGGATGTAATTAACCTCAAATAAACGAAGGGCTCGCAAGTTGAATATGCACACGGCGAAGCTGTCCACTTCCTTCACGAGTGGAGGTTCAAATAAAATCCGGCGGCGTGAGATTGTCGAAGCACCGGGCAGACGCATCGACCCACGCTTCAGTGAACCGCTGTGAACTGTGCAAGTCTGTGAGTCTCTGTGTGAATCTACGGGTCTCTATGTGAGTCTATGAGTCTCTCTATGTAAGACCGCACAGCCATGAACAGCTGTGAACTCTGTATTACAGTCTGCGGGTGTCTGTGTCTATGGGTCTCTGTGCGAGTCTATGGGTCTCTGTGCGAGTCTGTGAGTCACTGTGAGTCGTCGGGTCTCTGTGTGAAAGCACACGAGCACAGTGAACCACTGTGAACTCTGAATGTTCAACACAGCAATTGAGAAGCCAATCGCTACCCGCACGTCAACTCAAGCGATGTCCTGGCGAAGTGATCTGAGCTTTGTAAACCCGTTGAGTTGCTGCAGATCCAGCCAAACACAAAGAGAGAGAGAGGAAGAGTTTTGCGAGCAAAGGCAGCCACGATTAATGAGCGCCACGGTGAAGTCGTGTCTCTCGCACGAACCACGTGCACGCCGCCCATTGATACCCCTGGCCAGCCTCCCCTGTCTGGCCAGGGGCACCGCGGTGGCTAGGAGATGTTAACTACCTCGCCAGGCATACAGGAGGTCGTGGGTTCGATCCCAACCCTGACGCCTGCTGCTGTATATTTGGAGTTTGCGTGTCGCTCTCTCTCATCATCATCACGGTGGCTAGGAGATGTTAACTCCCTCGCCTGGTCTACAGGAGGTCGTGGGTTCGATCCCGACCCTGACGCCTGCTGCTGTATATTTGGAGTTTGCGTGTCTCTCTCTCTCTCATCATCATCACGGTGGCCAGGAGATGTTAACTACCTCGCCTGGTGTACAGGAGGTCGTGGGTTCGATCCCGACCCTGACGCCTGCTGCTGTATATTTGGAGTTTGCGTGTCTCTCTCTCTCTCATCATCATCACGGTGGCCAGGAGATGTTAACTACCTCGCCTGGTGTACAGGAGGTCGTGGGTTCGATCCCGACCCTGACGCCTGCTGCTGTATATTTGGAGTTTGCGTGTCGCTCTCCGCGTGGTCGCGTGGATTTCTCTCCGGGTCCCCTCCGGGTTTTCCCTCCACATTTGGAATCGTGTGTTTAAAGTCTTTGGCTGCTATAAATTTCCACACGATGATAAGCCACTTAATTGGGCTATCGTTTGTGGCCAGGTCGCGACTGAAAAACAGCTCAGTAGGGCTAGCTTGGTAAGATAAAAATAGTCTTTATCATCCACAATGCCTCACATTTCCAATCTGACTCGTGCTCGCCGCCATTAGCGGCACAGGGGCCAGCAATGGAAATTCCACATTCCCATGTCGGGAGCCAGTGTCTCGCGAGGGCAACCCTTATTTTTCATGCCATGTGCATATCCAGTGCGTCAGTGACATACTGCCGGATGAAGGCTTCCTATAGCCATCTAGGTTCATGAGGGGTTATTTCACCAAACTTCACCACGCTGGTCAGTGCGTATTGGTGAAGGTGGGAAGCCCCGGATGAGTACAGGTTGTCACCACTGGTGTTAGCCATGGCCGGCAACTGAACCTAGGCCTCTGGGTTCACAGCACAGTGCGCTTGCACTGACCGCGGCTCCACCGCTTATCACAAAATTGTACCAAATGTGTTGGCGGTACAATGGGCCAACTCACTGCCTTCTTCCGAGTGCGAGTTGAGCACTCTCTAATAGCCGCACTGCCGCTTGGGTGGATATATAACCACGGGGCGTGAATTCCCAAAGCGAGCAACGTTGTGTGGGCGTGAGCGTGAATGTGTCCGTGAGTTATGTCCCATCTGGCTGGCTCGTGCAATTAAGTTTTCTCTGCTTTTCTTGTTCGATATAAATCAAGGCGAGCCCTCGATGTGCCACAGCGTGCGCGGTTGTGGTTCTGCACCCCCCCCCCGCCTGCTCATCTAAACGTCTGGCAATGCCCGAGCCTGACAGATCTCACACGAGCCAGGGCATACACCAGTCTGGGTATGTCCACTTGTGATGAAGCGATACTGAAACACGCACTGTACGCACCGCCGACAACTCCTGGTATTTGTGCTTTAGATTTCGAGTCTCATCGTTGGGCGGCGAGATGTTAACTGCCTCGCCAGGTATGCAGGAGGTTAGAATCGCAATCAGAATATTGATTTATATTTGAAGGAATCCGATGAGCTATAAAGCTCTTTTTCACAGATGTCCATGGGTTTATCTCCACCCTTACGCCTGCTGCATATTTGTCTCTCTCTCCCCGTGGTCGCGTCGATTTTTCTCCAGGTGCTCTGTTTTTTTTTTATCCACTCCACATGTAGAAACGTGCGTTTTAGAGTATTTCGCTTGCTATACATTTCCATGTGGCAAGCCATTGAGCTTTCATTTGTGGCCAGATTACTTTTGAAAGAGAGCTGCATCGCTCAGTGGGCCTTACCTGGTAAAGTTAAGACGCTGTCTTCCCGACAGCTCTGTTTCTTCACCTGAGGACGGCTGCTTGCGTTGTGGCCGAAACGTCGTGAGAATTTTATTTTATTATGTTTTATTTGTATTACTTTATTCTTTCCCTTCTACGTGGTGACTTATCCGAAAGAGCCAAGAAGAAAAATTAAAATAGTTTAGGTTTAGTTTGGGAATAATAAACTTTGATGTCCTTCAAATTTCAGTGGAAGTGATTCCCTGCTCAAATGAGCACTGATGCAGCGCTCATTTTTTGTTGACAACCCTGAGCCCAGTGGTGAGAAATTCCACTTCTTTTGGTGGGAGCGAGTCTTGCCGGTACAAACAACCCCTGCCTTTTGTGGTCGCAAGGTTATCTGCGAGCCGTCGATGAAAAATATACAAAAATAAGTACTTACGTTAACGTGTGTGTGTGTGTACTCAAACATACGTGGCATGTTCACGTGATGTATTTGGGAAGCAATTCACAATCTGTTCCTCGGACAACGCCTGGCTTTGTTAGCCTTGGCACTGCCGCTGTCTCTTCGAATTGAACTTGGAATCCGTGCTTAACCCCCCCCCCCACCGCTATTGCGAGGGGCGCCTCTAAAATAACTCGAGTTGAGTTCCCTCTCCTGCGCAGGACCTATCAAAGTCTCCACAAATCACTCCCTCTGCCCGCCCGCCCGCCCGCTCGCTCGCTCGCTCAGGAATGCATTGCATTGGAATGCGCCCCCTATCCTTTTCTTATCAATTAAAACCCAATAATCATGTGCCCTGCCTTCTTGATGACCCACCCCCTGCCTCTGTTGGCCGTCTCATCAGCGTTCTGTTTTCCTGGCCACGTCACCCCGTGGCCTTGCTGTTCGCTTTTGGGGGGGGGGGGGGGGGGGGGTGGGGGTTGCTCGCGAGTGGCAGACAACCGGTCAGAAATAAGTACTTCTTCACCACGGCTCGCGCCGTGAGATAACCCGGCCCAATAGGGCAGCCGCTATATCACAAAAAATAACTATCGGCAGGAACGTATGTGTGCGCGTTGAACTTCTTTCGCACCGTACGTAGCCAACCGTGCTAATCGGACGTGCCGGGGAAGGACAACAAACTAAACACGAGAAGCAGTTTTCAAGAAATTGGTTTTCAATCTCGATGATATAAAAGTCCATTGCTCCAGTGGCTTCCTGATATCGGAAAGGGAGAACTTTCCAGACGGCTCTTCCGGATGTCCGAAAGCCCGCGATGCTGTGGCCATCCTTGTTTTGTGCACTTATGCAATTTGTACTTGTTATACTTTGTTTACGTATATTTGTTTATAGTGACTTGCTTACTTTTTCTCTAATTTTCACTTGTTTTGTTTGTTGTTTATTGTAGTTTGTTGTTGTTTGTTGTTGTTTATTGTTTGTTGTTTAATGCTTGTTGTTTATTTTTGTTGTTTGTTATTGTTTATCGTTTATTGTTTGTTGTTTATTGTTTGTTGCTTAATGCGTGTTGTTTATTGTTTGTTGTTTATTGTTTGTTATTGTTTATTGTTTGCTGTTGTTTGTTGTTTATTGTTTGTTGTTGTTTATTGTTTGTTGTTGTTTATTGTTTGTTGTTTATTGTTTGTTGTTGTAACTCGCTGAGTTCCGTGAAAGATCTCCGTAGCTAATCGGATGTAGTATTATTATTGGTGCTTCTTTATGAGTGCTTCCTCCTGCTTGTCCGCCCCCCTTTGGGTGCGCGAGGCTGAGTTGGGGGATCTTTTGCGTTTCGCGTCGTGTCGTGCGTGCGCGTCATCTGAGTGCTGTGCGTGTCGTGTGTCGTGTGTGTGTGTCGTGTGTGTGTCGTGTGTGTGCGTGTCCTGTGTGTGCGTGCGTGTGTGTCGTGCGTGTGTGTGTGCGTGTCGTGTGTGTGTGTGTCGTGTGTGTGTGTGTCCTGTGTGTGCGTGCATGTGTGTCGTGCGTGTGTGTGTGTGTACCTGTGTGTGCTGGACCCGCAGGAGTGTGCGCCCGGCTACTACCGGGACACGCGAGGGCCCTACCTGGGCCGCTGCCTGCCCTGCGACTGCAATGGACACTCGGACCAGTGTGAGCACGGCACGGGAGCCTGCCTGGTACGAGCAGCACTCACACGTCACCAGACTCTGGCTCAGACGTCACAGACGCTGGCACACGTGATCAGACGCTGGCTCACGTCACAGACTCTGTCTCACGTCACCAGACGCTGGCTCACATCACAGACGCTGGCTCACGTCACCAGACGCTGGCTCACGTCACAGACGCTGGCTCACGTGATCAGACGCTGGCTCACGTCACCAGACGCTGGCTCACGTCACCAGACGCTGGCTCACGTCACCAGACGCTGGCTCACGTCACCAGACGCTGGCTCACACGTCACCAGACGCTGGCTCACACGTCACGAGACGCTGGCTCACGTCACCAGACGGTGGCTCACACGTCACAGACGCTGGCTCACGTGATCAGACTCTGGCTCACATCACCAGACGCTGGCTCACGTCACCAGACGCTGGCTCACACGTCACTAGATGCTGGCTCACACGTCACCAGACGCTGGCTCACACGTCACCAGACGCTGGCTCACATCACAGACGCTGGCTCACACGTCACCAGACGCTGGCTCACACGTCACCAGACGCTGGCTCACGTCACCAGACGCTGGCTCACATGATCAGACTCTAGCTCACATCACCAGACGCTGGCTCACGTCACCAGACGCTGGCTCACATGTCACTAGATGCTGGCTCACACGTCACCAGACGCTGGCTCACACGTCACCAGACGCTGGCTCACATCACAGACGCTGGCTCACGTCACCAGACGCTGGCTCACGTCACCAGACGCTGGCTCACGTGATCAGACTCTGGCTCACGTCACCAGACGCTGGCTCACGTCACCAGACGCTGGCTCACGTCACCAGACGCTGGCTCACGTCTCCAGACGCTGGCTCTAAGTAATTGACATGAAGCGTCTCACTATTTACAGAGAGAAAAGAAGCGACCTTTGGTTGGTATGGGCCCTGCTGAACGTCATCTTCCCCACGGGCACGTGTCCTGCCGGTGGTGACTCCTTTAGCACTCTCGCCGAGTGCCTCCACTTTCATTTGCAGCTGGAACAACTCAATGCGCCTAAGATCCCGGTTGTTTTTAATCACTAGTCGCTGCCTGGGTGTGTACCCAGGATCTCGGGAGTGGACGTATTGCCACGACGTTGGTGAGACGATGGTGTGACATTGGTGCGCCGCGTGGAACCACGCGCGTCTCTCTCTGTCCCCGCAGCGCTGTCAGCACAACACGCAGGGCGAGAGCTGCGAACGCTGCCAGCCGGGACACGTGGGCAACGCCAGTGCGGGTGCTGCCCAGCCTTGCCAGCCCTGCCCCTGTCCTCTCGCCCTGCACTCCAACAGGTGGCCCAGCCCGTCACCGTCACACGCACTAGCCCATCACCGTCACACGCACTAGCCCGTCACCGTCACACGCACTAGCCCGTCACACGCACTAGCCCGTCACCATCACACTCACTAGCCCGTCACCGTCACACACACTAGCCCATCACCGTCACACACACTAGCCCGTCACCGTCACACTCACTAGCCCAACACTGTCACACGCACTAGCCCATCACCGTCACACACACTAGCCCGTCACACACACTAACCCATCACTGTCACACACACTAGCCCATCACTGTCACACACACTAGCCCATCACCGTCACACACACTAGCCCATCACTGTCACACGCACTAGCCCATCACTGTCACACTCACTAGCCCATCACCATCACACACACTAGTCCATCACTGTCACACGCACTAGCCCATCACTGTCACACGCACTAGCCCATGACTGTGACACACACTAGCCCATCACTGTCACACTCACTAGCCCATCACTGTCACACGCACTAGCCCATCACCGTCACACACACTAGCCCATCACCGTCACACTCACTAGCCCATCACGGTCACACTCACTAGCCCATCACTGTCACACGCACTAGCCCATCACTGTCACACACCCATCACCGTCACACACACTAGCCCATCACCATCACACACACTTACCCATCACTTTAAAAAGCTTGGATGCATAGTGCTGGGATGGATGACCTCCACCATGCGCAAAGAGGCTGTCATTGGGCTTGCGAGGTTACACGGTGGGCAGCAGAGGGGGAAATCTACTGCTGCACTGTGATCCTACCCTCTACTGCTGTAGTATATAATGATGAAAATGATCATTATATACTACAGCAGTAGGTGTGCTCATTTGCCTGTAACATGCCGTGTGTGTGTGTGCGTCTGGGAAGCGATAGTGTAGCGGTTAGCGCGCTGTGCTATGAACCCGGCGACACGGGTTTGATTCCCGCTCACGGCCAACACCAGTGACGATTATCTTAACCGGTCCCGGGCCTCTCCTAGGTCGACTCAGCCTCAAATGAGTACCTGGTGCGGTGTGTAAACATTGCCACTAGGGAGACAAAGGCGGTCGGGCGTGGTGCTGGCCACCCACCCCCTCGTGTACCGTTACCGGCCTTCATAGGTACTCGCTAACAGCACTTGCCCCTGCAGTCTGTTAAGGCTATATGGGGAATCTTTGTCTTTGTGTGTGTGTGTGTGCGTGCACGCGCGTACGTGTGTGCGTCTGTACCTGTGTACGTGTGTGCGTCTGTACCTGTGTACCTGTGTGCCTGTGTGCGTGCGTGTGCGTGCGTGTGTGTGCTTGTGCATGCGTGCGTGTGCATACGTGCGTGTGCATACGTGCGTGTGCGTGCGTCAGTTTCTCCATGGGCTGCACTGACCGCGACGGAGAGATGAAGTGTCTGTGCAAGAGCGGCTACGCGGGGAGCAAGTGTGACAGGTACATGCCACGATGCTTGCTTGCGCGCTGCAAATGGTGGACCGGTTCCCCGAGCCTCGGTGTCGCCCTGACACCGTGCAGAGCAAGGCTCCCCTGTTGTCGTTTGCCGCCTATTGGTTATGGATGTTGCTTGTTGGCAACATAAATCGCCCCTTTGCACGACCCCTACCGATTGCTCCACCGGCTCGCAATACAATCCCGGATTGATTTCAAAATCTCACTCTCAAGGCCTTAAACATCTTGCATGGACTCGCTCCCCTATCTCCGTCTCTCCCCTTTCAACCTCACGCTCCCTTCCTCTTCCCTCTCCGCGCACTGCCCTACCTCCCCGCTGTCGCCTCCCTCTCCGCTCCGCTCCCGCCGCTCGCCATCAAACGAAGGCGGTCCACCGCATCGCGCGGCGCTTTCGGATGCGCTTCTGCGGCCGTCTGGAACGCTCTCCCTTCCGGTATTAGGAAGCCACTAGGAGCTGTGCACTTTGAAATAATCTGGATTGAAAACTCATTTAATTAGAATTGCCTTTTGTTGTTTAGTTTGTTGTCTTTCCCCCGCACCTCCAAATACCACGTTTGGCTACGTAGGGTGCTAAAGAAGTTCAACAAACAAACACAAAGCATCGCCTCCAGCTGCCAAGAATTTTGGTCAGTGTCCCTGATCAACATTCGCTCAGTCGGAGGTCGCTCATTCTCCTCTGCTGCCCCCGTGGTCTCGGACTCCCTTCACTCGCGCGGATAGCCACAAGATCGCACACACACACACGCGTACGTACGTACGTACGGCTGATTGCCTCTCTGTAGTGAGTGAAATGGGGCCCCGCCGTTCCTGTAGAGCCCGGCGGCTCTCGGGATTCGGTGCCCTTGTAGACGCAACGCTCCGATCCACGTCGCGTTGCGTTACGTCACTCCCGGGGGCCCCTCGCGGTGACGCGTGTGCACGTTGCGTCCGTACGCTCCATTCCTGCTCGCGGCCAACAGCGGCGATGCTCATCTGAACCGCTCATGGGCCTCCCCAAAGGTCGGCTCGGCCTCAAACGAGCACACGGGGAGACGAAGGCGCCCGGGCGTGGTGCTGGCCACCCAGCCCCCTCGCGTGCCGTCCCGGCCTTCGAGAGCGCTCGCTACCGGCGCTTGGCCCCCGCGGTCCGCTAACGCTACACGGGGGGACCCTGTGGGTGCCTCAGGTGCGCTCCGGGCTTCTACGGGAACCCCACGGTGATCGGCAGCGCGTGCCGCCCCTGCGACTGCAACGGCAACTCGGACCCCAACATGATCTTCGAGGACTGCCACAACGTGACGGGCGCGTGCGGCTCCTGCGTGCCGGGCACCGCGGGGCCCCGCTGCCAGCTCTGCGCGCCGGGCTTCTACGGTGACGCCGTCGTCGCCAAGAACTGCACCGGTGCGGCCGCCGGGGACGGGGGGGATGGGCGGGCGCGGGCGGTCGAGCGGCGGACGGACGCGGGGGCCTCGCGGCAACAAGGGGGCGCCTGGGTTCGATTTGTGTGGTCTCTCCCCCCCCCCCGCCCCCGTCCACCCGTGCGGCCATGTTTCCTCCCGCGGCCGACAGAAACATTCTTGATTTGAAGCTTTCGTGACTGCGGGGACGATTGCCCAAGGTTGCTATCGAAGCGTCGTGATGCATTATGTTTTCTACCTGCTTGACTTCACCGAAAGTACCGAAGAGCTTGACAGAAACATCGCCAGGCTGACAGAGTGACCTGCGCATCAAGCAAACGGCTCGACCCGTTGCGACGTCGCTTGCTTTTCTGCAGCAAAAGCCGCGGTAGGGTCCTCCTGAAAACGAGTCTTGAGGCTCGGCGAGGTTCCCCCTGCCCGGGGTAAACAGGAGGAATAATGACGAACGAAAATAAACGTATCTGCGATCGCAGTGTTCGCTGAAAATGTATCAGGGTCCGGCTCTCGGTGGCACGGCCGAGCGGTCGTGGGTTGGCCGCTCGTCGTCCGTGCTGCTGCGGAGGTTCTGCGGTTCGAGCACAGGGGGGCCGTCTCCCGGTTAATACTGCCGAGCGGCGTCTGCCTCGCGCAACGGACGCTGAAGATCCCCCGTGATATTGTTCGACAAAAAAAAAGTTAGGCCACGTGTGCCAGCAACCCCCCCCCCCACCCCCCCTTCACGATCCGAATCTCAGAGAAAAAAAAAATCACCTAGAAATTATTTAATTGTATTGGAAAATATATGTATAGCAACGTCACGCCCCTACTGACAGACTACATCCATCACTCGCAACCGCCAGATTGGTGCTGCCTGCAACCATCGGAGGAATGCGACGTTTCGATCGCAACACAAGCGATCGATCGAAACGTCGTGATTCATTTAATTTAATTTTATACCCACTACGTGACTTTGCCGAAAGAACCAAAGTGTGTGGATTCCCGCAGTCACGAAAGCTTCAAATCAACATCGGGGAAATGTCGCGGCAAATTGTCCAACGTGCGTGTGGATCGCTCTCCCGACAACATTGCCGACAGCATTGTTCATCTCGTGCCACCTTCATGAATTGGCTGCGTCGGGTGGAGGAGGGTGGAGGAGGGTGGAGGAGGGTGGAGGAGGGTGGAGGAGAGTGGAGGAGGGTGGAGGAGGGTGGAGGAGAGTGGAGGAGGGTGGAGGAGGGTGGAGGAGGGTGGAGGAGAGTGGAGGAGGGTGGAGGAGGGTGGAGGAGGGTGGAGGAGAGTGGAGGAGGGTGGAGGAGGGTGGAGGAGGGTGGAGGAGAGTGGAGGAGGGTGGAGGTGGGTGGAGGAGGGTGGAGGAGGGTGTACGACACACAGGCATTACGCAACGCGATCCGACCAACAGAAATCGGTCGTGAATCTAAATGTTGGTCGTGAAAGCACCACGTGTTAAACACGTGTCCAAATGTGAACTGTGATGCATGCACGACGAGCCAATGAGCGTTAGTACCTGTGGGGGGGGAGGGGCGGAGCGGGGGGGCAGTGTGGATTATTATCTTGGGACGTGGTGGGACTGCGCTGTGCGCTGCGTGTGCTTCCACGACGGCAGCCTCGTGGCTGCGCAAGGGCTGACGTGGGCCTCTGTGTGCGCGTGTGTGTGCGTGTGTGTGCGTGTGTGTGCGTGTGTGTGTTTGCGTGTGTGTGTGCGCGTGTGTGTGTGCATGTGTGTGTGTGCGTGTTTGCGTGTGTGTTTGTGTGTGTGCGTGTTTGTGTGTGTGCGTGTGTGTGTGCATGCGTGTTTGCGTGTGTGTTTGTGTGTGTGCGTGTGTGTTTGTGTGTGTGCGTGTGTGTGTGTTTGTGTGTGTGCGTGTGTGTGTGTGCGTGTGTGTGTGCGTGTGTGTTTGCGTGTGTGTGTGCGTGTGTGCGTGTGTGTTTGCGTGCGTGTGTGTGTGCGTGTGTGCGTGCGTGTGTGTGTGCGTCTGTGCGTGTGTGTTTGCGTGTGTGTGTGCGTGTGTGTTTGCGTGTGTGTGCGTGTGTGCGTGTGTGTTTGCGTATGTGTGTGCATGTGTGCGTGTGTTTGCGTGCGTGCGTGTGTGTGCGTGTGCGTATGTGTGCGTGTGTGTGTGCGTGTGTGTTTGCGTGTGCGTGTGTGTGTGCGTGTGTGTTTGCTTGTGTGCGTACGCGTGTGTGCGTGTGTGTGCGCGTGTGGAGCAGCGTGCGCGTGCGACGCGTGCGGCACGCAGGAGTGTGACGTCCGCACGGGCCGGTGCCACTGCAAGCCGGGCGTCACCGGGCCTCGCTGCTCCAGCTGCCGCGTGAGTTTCACCACAAGCACGACGGGTGGTTCATGCGGACTTTTGATGCCTTGCGATAGGCGTGCCCCTTTGGTGTTCGGACCTCTTAACGCCTCCTGTGCGTTTGCCGAAAAGGGTGAGGCGTGTTGTTTCGTTCATCTTCCCGTCGCTGGCAAAAAAAAAAATGTTCCCACGTCCGGGCTGTTGGTGCCTTCCGCAGGAGGGATACTACGGCTTCGACGGCTGCCAGGGCTGCCGGGCGTGCGAGTGCGGCGGTGGCGGTGGCGGTGCGTGCGACGTCACCACTGGGCAGTGCGCCTGCCCCCCGGGGGTCGAGGGCATCGCCTGCGACCGATGTCAGCCGGGACACTGGGACCTGGGGCCCCAGGGCTGCAGGAGTGAGCCCAGCACTCGCCGCTCGCGATTGCTGTGCGGTGTGCGTGTGTGCGTATGTGTGTGTGTTCACGTGTGTGTGTGTGTGTGTTCACGTGTGTGTGTGTTCACGTGTGTGTGTGTTCACGTGCGTGTGTACACGTGTGTGTGTGTTCACGTGTGTGCTTGTGTATACGTGTACGTGTATGTGTGTTCACGTGCGTGTGTACACGTGCGTGTGTACACGTGTGTGTGTACACGTGTGTGTGTGTGTGTACACGTGTGTGTGTTCACGTGTGTGTGTGTGTACACGTGTGTGTGTGTGTACACGTGTGTGTGTTCACGTGTGTGCGTGTGTTCACGTGTGTGTGTACACGTGTGTGTTCACGTGTGTGTGTGTGTGTGTGTTCACGTGTGTGTGTGTGTTCACGTGTGTGTGTGTTCACGTGTGTGCGTGTGCAGGGTGTGAGTGCCACACGGGGCAGTGCGACCCAAGCAGTGGACGGTGTTCGTGCCCCCACGGGGTCACAGGGCCCCAGTGCGGCTCCTGCCTCGACCCGCACTCCCTGCCGCTCCCAAATCCTCACGGCACCGTGCACTGTCAACGTGAGTCACGGAGGGGAGGGCGGTTGCCTCTGTCCCGCACTTATTTCCAGCTGTGCTCCTCCGCAAATAACAATATCTCTACACATTAATCACGTACATTAAAAAAAAAAATCTTAGATTTAAAAATATTTTTTTTAGAACCGCTTTTTTGTGTTGAATTTGCTGTCCTTCCCCCGAACCTCCGATTAGCACGGTTGGCCACGTACATTCATACATCCAAATCTATACGGGCGGTCTCAGGTTTGCGACGGTACAGATTGACGACGATCCACATTTACGACGTTTATATAACGCCACCGTGGATCGATTTATGATGTAGTAACTTTATTTATGACGCATCTTCCAACACGACAGAGTCAGTCTGGTTTCCGATGTGACTTGGTCTGGAGTTTTCGTTATTCCCAAGTGTTTTTGTTGATTTTACAATATTAAACCCTGTTGAAAATGGACGATAAGAGGAACAGCACATCGGTAAAGCCCACTGAGCTATATGGCTCTTTTTCAGAAGAGGCCTGGCCACAAATGACGAAGTGGCTTACCACATGGAAATTTATCGCAGCCAAAGACTTTAAACGCGTGACGTTGATTCTAAACGTGAAGGGAAAAACCGGAGGCCCCAGAGAAAAATCCAAGAGAACACGGGGAGAGAGACACGCAAACTCCAAATATACAACAGGCGTTGAGGGTCGGGATTGAACCCACGACCTCCTGCATACCGGGCGAGGGAGGTAACATCTCCTAGCCACCATGTAGAGCCCTCGCGTGTTTTGTGCACGTACGTCCCCTTCAGTCAGAGGGCATCCCCCGCACCATGGTGGTAGTTCCACCGCGGTTCACGTTGCCGGCCAGCACGCGTTCCCGAACGCGAGGGAGTACGGCGATGTCAGCATCCTGTTGTTGTTGTTGTTGCGCGCCGCAGCCTGCGACAACTGCGTCGTGGTCCTGCTGGACGACCTGCGGCGCTCGGACGCCGAGGCGGAGGCGACGCGCCTGCGGCTGCGCAACCTCACGGCCGCCACCTTCGCCTTCACGCGCCTCCACAACGTCAACGAGTCGGCGAGCTCCACGCGGGTACGTCGCGCCCGCCACCGCGCTCGCCCACGTCGCCACCGCCGCCGTCGCCGTTCGCGGGCTCGGTGCCAGGCTTCGCGCTCGTATCGGGAGGGCCCCTGCCAGCTTCTCAAATGCGTTGCTGCTGCGCGAAATCCCCAGTGGAACAACTTTGCAGGTTTATTTTGTGAGCGTCGGGATGTTTGGGCCGATGGCAATTACATTTTGTACGTTTTTTTTTTAAAGCTTTGTTGAGGAAAGCGGTAAAAACTCCACACGGAGGCGCCCGAGTCAGGAAGCGAACTTGGGGACTTACCGCTGTGCCGCCCCTCTGGGTTCTTGGATTTAATCACTGCGTGTCCACCAGCCCTGAGACACGCGTGTCCACCAGCCAGGAGACACGCGTGTCTACCAGCCAGGAGACACGCGTGTCTACCAGCCCTGAGACACGCGTGTCCACCAGCCAGGCCCGTGCGTCGCTCACTGGGTCGTGCGGAAATTTACCCTCGCGAGGCACCTCGATGGGCGCTCGCGGCCCTCTGAAGGCTTCCGCGGGCGACGTTTGTGTTTTGCGTGCCCCTTCGCAGGCGGCTCTGGACCAGGTGAACGGCCTCATGGTGAGGCAGCGCGGTCAGCTGGATGCGATGGAGATGAACCTGCCGGGGTTCGCGCAGGAGTCGGAGGCTCTCCACGCACGGGTGCCAAACCTCGCAATGTGTTCACACAACAACGACCGCCATTCGCCACTAAGTGGCTGTGATGTCACCACGGCGCCTGTGCCAGGCCATGTGTACTTTAAGCCAACGTGAAGTGTCGAGCGCCCGCTGGCAGGAGGTCACGGGACAGACCCAGGTGCCATGGGTCCACTGATTGAGATGGCTGGCCACACATGCACACGCACACTGTGTATTCACACTACACACACGTTAAAAGACAAAGATCCCCCATATAGCCTTAACAGACTGTTGGGGCAATTGCTGTTTGTGAACACCTATGAAGGCCGGCACGGTACATGAGGGGGCGGGTGGCCAGCATCACGCCCGACCGCCTTTGTCTCTCCAGTGACGATGTTTTTACACACCGCACCAGGTACTCATTTGAGGCTGAGTCAACCTAAAGAAGGCCCAGGACCGGTTCAGATGATAGTCACTTTTGTTGGCCGTGAACGGGAATCAAATTCGGCTCACCGGTTTCGCAGCCCAGCGCGCTAACCGCTACACGACCGCTCCCCACGACACTACCGCTCCACACTGCGCACGCACACACACTCCGCACTCCACCGCACTCCGCTCACTACCGACACCCCACGCATCGCTAACCTGAGCTCGGCCCCTCCACGCCCCCCTCGTCCCCGCAGGCCAACGCCTCCCTGACGCTGGCCAAGAGGCTGGAGGCCGCCGTGGAGTCGAGCCGGCAGCAAGCGGAGGGGCTGCTGCACGGCGTGCACCGCCTGGCGACACACGTCCAGGGTACGCCGACTGAACACACACACACACACACACCCCACACACACACACACACCCCACACACACACCCACCCCCCCCACACACACACACACCCACACACACACACCCACCCCCCACACACACACGCCCCACACACACACACCCCACACACACACACCCCACACGCACACCCCACACACGCAAACCCCCCACACGCACACCCCACCCCCCCACACCCCCCCCACACCCCACACACACCCCACACACCCACCCCCCCCCCCCCCCCCAAGGGCCGGTCGGGTTTCTTTGCGAGCTTCTTTCAACAGTTCGGTCGGGGAACACGTTGGGCCCCTTGGTGTCGGGGAACACGTTGAGCCCCTTGGTGTCGGGGAATACGTTGGGCCCCTTGGTGTCGGGGAACACGTTGAGCCCCTTGGTGTCGGGGAACACGTTGGGCCCCTTGGTGTCGGGGAACACGTTGAGCCCCTTGGTGTCGGGGAATACGTTGGGCCCCTTGGTGTCGGGGAACACGTTGGGCCCCTTGGTGTCGGGGAACACGTTGGGCCCCTTGGTGTCGGGGAACACGTTGGGCCCCTTGGTGTCGGGGAACACGTTGAGCCCCTTGGTGTCGGGGAATACGTTGGGCCCCTTGGTGTCGGGGAACACGTGGGGCCCCTTGGTGTCGGGGAACACGTTGGGCCCCTTGGTGTCGGGGAACACGTTGGGCCCCTTGGTGTCGGGGAACACGTTGGGCCCCTTGGTGTCGGGGAACACGTTGGGCCCCTTGGTGTCGGGGAACACGTTGGGCCCCTTGGTGTCGGGGAACACGTTGGGCCCCTTGGTGTCGGGGAACACGTTGGGCCCCTTGGTGTCGGGGAACACGTTGGGCCCCTTGGTGTCGGGGAACACGTTGGGCCCCTTGGTGTCGGGGAACACGTTGGGCCCCTTGGTGTCGGGGAACACGTTGGGCCCCTTGGTGTCGGGGAACACGTTGGGCCCCTTGGTGTCGGGGAACACGTTGGGCCCCTTGGTGTCGGGGAACACGTTAGCCCCCTTGGTGTCGGGGAACACGTTAGCCCCCTTGGTGTCGGGGAACACGTTAGCCCCCTTGGTGTCGGGGAACACGTTGGGCCCCTTGGTGTCGGGGAACACGTTGGGCCCCTTGGTGTCGGGGAACACGTTGGGCCCCTTGGTGTCGGGGAACACGTTGGGCCCCTTGGTGTCGGGGAACACGTTGGGCCCCTTGGTGTCGGGGAACACGTTGGGCCCCTTGGTGTCGGGGAACACGTTGGGCCCCTTGGTGTCGGGGAACACGTTGGGCCCCTTGGTGTCGGGGAACACGTTGGGCCCCTTGGTGTCGGGGAACACGTTGGGCCCCTTGGTGTCGGGGAACACGTTGGGCCCCTTGGTGTCGGGGAACACGTTGGGCCCCTTGGTGTCGGGGAACACGTTGGGCCCCTTGGTGTCGGGGAACACGTTGGGCCCCTTGGTGTCGGGGAACACGTTGGGCCCCTTGGTGTCGGGGAACACGTTGGGCCCCTTGGTGTCGGGGAACACGTTGGGCCCCTTGGTGTCGGGGAACACGTTGGGCCCCTTGGTGTCGGGGAACACGTTGGGCCCCTTCGGTGTCAGGGGAACACGTTGGGCCCCTTGGTGTCGGGGAACACGTTGGGCCCCTTGGTGTTGGGGAACACGTTGGGCCCCTTGGTGTCGGGGAACACGTTGGGCCCCTTTGTGTCGGGGAACACGTTGGCCCCCTTGGTGTCGGGGAACACGTTAGCCCCCTTGGTGTCGGGGAACACGTTGGCCCCCTTGGTGCCGGGGAACACGTTGGGCCCCTTGGTGTCGGGGAACACGTTGGGCCCCTTGGTGTCGGGGAACACGTTGGCCCCCTTGGTGCCGGGGAACACGTTGGGCCCCTTGGTGTCGGGGAACACGTTGGCCCCCTTGGTGTCGGGGAACACGTTGGGCCCCTTGGTGTCGGGGAACACGTTGGGCCCCCTTGGTGTCGGGGAACACGTTGGGCCCCTTGGTGTCGGGGACCACGTTGGGCCCCTTGGTGTCGGGGAACACGTTGGCCACCTTGGTGCCGGGGAACACGTTGGGCCCCTTGGTGTCGGGGAACACGTTGGCTCCCTTGGTGTCGGGGAACACGTTGGGCCCCTTGGTGTCGGGGAACACGTTAGCCCCCTTGGTGTTGGGGAACACGTTAGCCCGCTTGCTGTCGGGGAACACGTTGGGCCCCTTGGTGTCGGGGAACACGTTGGGCCCCTTGGTGTCGGGGAACACGTTGGGCCCCTTGGTGTCGGGGAACACGTTAGCCCCCTTGGTGTCGGGGAACACGTTAGCCCCCTTGGTGTCGGGGAACACGTTAGCCCCCTTGGTGTCGGGGAACACGTTAGCCCCCTTGGTGTCGGGGAACACGTTGGGCCCCTTGGTGTCGGGGAACACGTTGGGCCCCTTGGTGTCGGGGAACACGTTGGGCCCCTTGGTGTCGGAGAACACGTTGGGCCCCTTGGTGTCGGGGAACACGTTGGGCCCCTTGGTGTCGGGGAACACGTTGGGCCCCTTGGTGTCGGGGAACACGTTGGCCCCCTTGGTGTCGGGGAACACGTTGGGCCCCTTGGTGTCGGGGAACACGTTGGGCCCCTTGGTGTCGGGGAACACGTTGGCCCCTTCGTGTCGGGGAACACGTTGGCCCCCTTGGTGTCGGGGAACACGTTGGCCCCCTTGGTGTCGGGGAACACGTTGGGCCCCTTGGTGTCGGGGAACACGTTAGCCCCCTTGGTGTCGGGGAACACGTTAGCCCCCTTGGTGTCGGGGAACACGTTAGCCCCCTTGGTGTCGGGGAACACGTTGGGCCCCTTGGTGTCGGGGAACACGTTGGCCCCCTTGGTGTCGGGGAACACGTTGGGCCCCTTGGTGTCGGGGAACACGTTGGGCCCCTTGGTGTCGGGGAACACGTTGGGCCCCTTGGTGTCGGGGAACACGTTGGGCCCCTTGGTGTCGGGGAACACGTTGGGCCCCTTGGTGTCGGGGAACACGTTGGGCCCCTTGGTGTCGGGGAACACGTTGGGCCCCTTGGTGTCGGGGAACACGTTGGGCCCCTTGGTGTCGGGGAACACGTTGGCCCCCTTGGTGTCGGGGAACACGTTGGGCCCCTTGGTGTCGGGGAACACGTTGGGCCCCTTGGTGTCGGGGAACACGTTGGCCCCCTTGGTGTCGGGGAACACGTTGGCCCCCTTGGTGTCGGGGAACACGTTGGGCCCCTTGGTGTCGGGGAACACGTTGGGCCCCTTGGTGTCGGGGAACACGTTGGGCCCCTTGGTGTCGGGGAACACGTTGGCCCCCTTGGTGTCGGGGAACACGTTGGCCCCCTTGGTGTCGGGGAACACGTTGGGCCCCTTGGTGTCGGGGAACACGTTGGCCCCCTTGGTGTCGGGGAACACGTTGGGCCCCTTGGTGTCGGGGAACACGTTGGCCCCCTTGGTGTCGGGGAACACGTTGGCCCCCTTGGTGTCGGGGAACACGTTGGCCCCCTTGGTGTCGGGGAACACGTTGGGCCCCTTGGTGTCGGGGAACACGTTGGGCCCCTTGGTGTCGGGGAACACGTTGGGCCCCTCGCATTTTTTCTCTCTCTCGTCGCGTTTCGGTGACTTTTTTTACTTTTTACTTCTACACCGAGGCAATTCGCGGCGGCGGGCCGTTAGATCGCGTAGTCACGCACGCACCGTCAGCACAAACTAAGCCGCTTGTACAGAGCAGGGGGTGGAGAGATGGGAATCGAACAGCGGCTGCTGACCCGACCCAGGCGGGTCCGCACCGAGAGGGGTCAGCGTCGTTTTCGTCTTTTTCGAGCGAGGGAAGGAGGATGACAAGGGGAGCGGGGTGGTGGGGGTGGGTGGTGGGGGATGATATAACCGAATAAATAAATGAAAGAACAACATAAGCAGCGATCTGGATGAGCGTGTTCTCCCTCCACCCCTCCGAGTCCGACTCACCGTCACGTTTGGCGACCTTCAAAACCTTTAGCCGTGACTCGGTCAAACACGCCTGGAGATATTGAGCAGGGTGGCCACCTGGGCCCGGACCGCAAACCCCCGCCGCTACAAACGGCAAACGCTGCACCGCCGTGGCCGACGCGCCCGGTCTCGCCGGATGTTCGTCGTGAGTTCATCGAATTTGGTACAGCGGCCGCCGTGCGGCGGCAGCGGCACGTTCAAGCGCCCGCTCGCAAGAGGGGTTCTCAACGAGCTCCCTCCCGACGAGGCTCCTTCCGCCGGCAGTAGCGGTGAACGAGCGATCCCGGGCCTGCGCCTTTCGCAATTTTACTGTGGATTTGTTCTATTGAGAGGGGGCTGCGCGTCGTGGTCTTGGTGTGGTCTGGGACTGTTTCTGCTGCTGTTGTTTTTTGCTGCCTTGCCCAAGTATGGGAATTGGTGTACCTGGTGTACTTTCATCTATTTAACGAATTTTTTTGTTGTTGGTAATTTTTGCTTATTTTTCCTATACTTTGCACTCCGAGCGTGTTTTCGGCAGGATTCGATGTACCGTAGCAATTGGTACTTATGTACTTTATTTAAAATTAGTGACTTGCTTACCTTTTCAATACTTTGCACTCCCATTGGTTTTCGCGTTGTTGTTGTTGTTGTGACTTTATGACCGCGTGCGACAACTAGGAAATTTGTAAAAGAAAAGAGCTTCCTGGCTCATCAGATTTTCTCCAGTCGAAAAAAGTACTCTGACTCTACAGCCATGCGGCAGGGACTCCGGGCGCCGATTTGGTTTTGCTGAACCCCCACCCAAGAACACACCCGCAATGATGGTCCCACCCAAGTGCGATGATTGGTTTAGCGCCGACTATAACGCGTGCTGTAATTGAACGGTGCGTGCCGTGCTCGGTGAAACCAAAGGCTACCCCCCACTACCCCTCCCTTGGAGTTTTTTTCTTTTTCCTTTAAGCTTTGTCGAGGAAACTGGAAAAAAAAACCCAGAGGGAGCGTGCGCAGAGGAAAAAAACGAAACTCCACGCAGAGGGGCGTCCGCGCCGGGGATCAAACTTGGGCGGTTTTCGCTGCGAGGCCCCCGGGCTTTCGGCCCGTCCCGTAACGAGCGCGCGGTGGGGCGGGCGGCGCCCTCCCCCCCCTCCCCATCCCCCCCCCCCCCCTTTCGCTTGCCGCAGATCTCCTGCGCCAAGCGGCGGAGCTGGAGCGGAGCCCCGAGTCGGGGGGGGCGTTGCCGTCGTCCGACGAGTTCCAGCGCAAGATGGCGGAGGCGACGCGCCTGCTGGACGACATGAGGCGGCGCTCGCTGCACGCGCAGGACGAGCTAGCGCGGCAGGAGAAGCACCTCGCTGAGAAACGTGCGCCCGCCCAGACCGCTCGCCCAGACCGCCCGCCCAGACCGCGTCCTCACGCTACCCACGTGGCCATCACCGGGCAGCCACTCTCTCACAGTCTGTCCGTCTCCTCCTCGTCTGTCTGCTAGAAATACTGCTGTCATCATCGTTACCATAGCTACTCGTAGTCTGTCCGTCTCCTCCTTGTCTCTCTGCTAGAAATACTGCTGTCATCATCGTTACCATAGCTACTCGTAGTCTGTCCGTCTCCTCCTTGTCTCTCTGCTAGAAATACTGCTGTCATCATCGTTACCATAGCTACTCGTAGTCTGTCCGTCTCCTCCTTGTCTCTCTGCTAGAAATACTGCTGTCATCATCGTTACCATAGCTACTCGTAGTCTGTCCGTCTCCTCCTTGTCTCTCTGCTGGAGCTGCTATCATGGTCGTTACCACGGCTACTATCTCATAGTCTTTCCATCTCCCCCTTGTCTCTCTGCTAGAACTGCTTGTCATAGTCATTATTACAACCACTCTCTCTGTCTGCATAGCGATTGACCCCTCCCCCCCCACACACTTCCTTAATATATAAATGTTATTGCGGTGATTTGATTCAGCTCGCTTTAGCCAATGCTGTTTTTCCCATCTCAATGATTATCTCACGTACTCAAATTTGCCTGAACTGTCCCACTCGCTCAGTCGCTCACCTTTCCACTCACTCCTGAATTCACACACACACACACGCACTCACTCATTCCCTTCGACGTTTACCCACTCAGCCACCCGCCCATTCACTAATGAGCTCCGTCACTTACGGCACATGCCCGCCCACCTTTTAAACTCATGTGCACACTCACTCGCGCACACTCACGAATGCAATAGCTCGCTCACGCAAAACCTCATTCTCGTCGCCCTCGCTTCTGGCCCCCACTCGCCTCCCGCTCGCTGTCGAAACGCCGCACGGCGACACCAGCGGCACCGTCCACCCGCGCTCGGCACCGGGCCACTCCCCACCCCCTCTGCTAAACCCTGGCCGGGTCGGCAGCCGAGACAACGAGCGAGGAGCGGTGGGGGGGGGGTGGCGGGGGTGGCGGGGGATGGTGGTCGCGCTGACTGCGGCGCGTGCGGTTTTGCGTCCCCAGTGCTGCGGAGCGTGCAGCAGGAGGTCGGCGTCCCCGCGGGAGAGACGGCGGCCATGGGGGCAGCCGTCACGAAGGACCTCGACGCCTACCAGGCCAAGCTCATGGAACTCCGCGACGTTCTCAACCAAGCGAGCAACGCCAGCCGGCGCGCATCCACCGTCAACAGCGTCGGCCGGGACGCGCTGCGGGACAACGAGGCACGTGCGCCGCCCCCGTTCGGCTAGCAAAAAAGAAATAACAGGAAGAGCCACTTTGTTTTTAAGTTCTGAAAAAAAATGTTTTTTTTTTTTGTTTAACCAACCAATATATTTGGAGAACCGCCAATGCACACGAATGACGTCAACGAAGCCGTTCCTTAAAGAGCAGCAGGTTTGCTGACCCCTGATCCCAGGTTGAGCCAGACGAGTATCGAGCGCTCTGGCGAGTTCAGCGACGGCATTGAGAGGACGACGAGGTGGTGCTGTGGCTGCAGCACCCCCAGCGCGCTGCTCCGTGGCGGCCTTAACCCCTTGCCCGTTCCTAGACGTCTGCAGGCTGCAGGGTGGGGTGCCCCGCTCGCCGCTGAATCTCGGAACGCCCAAGCGGCTTGTGTTCGTTTTACTTAGAGAAGCGTAGCGCCACTGTTTTTAAAGACATTGTTGATCACCGCAGAGAACCGTAGCGACACGACCACGCTCGATGTTCGCTGGCGCCAACCTGTGCCACAGGGCCCTCCCGCATGGCCTTGGCGATGTACACGTACGTCATGGGAATGGGAAAGCGTTAATAGGCATTCGGCAACACATCACTCGCTCCGGCAGTCTCTGTGGTGAGATTGAGGATCGATGACTTGGCACTGCATTCAAGTGGGGTCATTGTGTCAATCTACAGTCGACTCTCTGTGTTAGTCGACTCTCTGTGCCAGTCGACTCTCTGTGTCAGTCGACTCTCTGTGTCAGTCGACTCTCTGTGTCAGTCGACTCTCTGTGTCAGTTGACTCTCTGTGTCAGTCGACTCTCTGTGTCAGTCGACTCTCTGTGTCAGTCGACTCTCTGTGTTAGTCGACTCCCTGTGTCAGTCGACTCTCTGTGCCAGTCGACTCTCTGTGCCAGTCGACTCTCTGTGTCAGTCGACTCTCTGTGTTGCATTGCGTTACATTTACAAAAATTTGCTAAGTTTATTTTCTCAAACTGCCTATTTCTCTCTCTGAAATGTACCAGGCTCTCATAGGTCGTCCATTCGCTCTTTCTCTCCCCCGGCCACTTCGGGGTGGATTTCCACTCAACTCTTTCTTAAAATTTACCAGTCTTGCTGGGTCTTTCTCTCCCCCGGCCACCGTGGGGTGGATTTCCACACAACTCTCTGCTTGTGTGTCTGTCTATGTTGTGTGTGTCTCTCTGTCTCTCTCTGCTTGTGTGTCTGTGTGTCTATCTTGTGTGTCTCTCTCTGTGTGTCTCTGTGTTCTCTCTCTCTCTCTGTGTGTCTGTCTGTGTCTATGTTGTGTGTCTCTCTCTCTCTGCTCGTGTGTCTGTCTGAGTGTCTATGTTGTGAGTCTCTCTCTGTGTGTCTCTGTGTTGTCTCTCTCTGCTCGTGTGTCTGTGTGTCTATGTTGTGTGTCTCTCTCTGTGTCTCTCTCTGTTTCTCTCTGCTTGTGTGTCTGTCTGTGTGTCTATGTTGTGTGTCTCTCTCTGTGTGTGTCTGTGTTGTCTCTCTCTGCTTGTGTGTCTGTCTGTGTTTCTATGTTGTGTGTGTCTCTCTGTGTGTCTCTGTGTTTCTCTCTGCTTGTGTGTCTGTCTGTGTGTCTATGTTGTGTGTCTCTCTCTCTGTGTGTCTGTGTTGTCTCTCTCTGCTTGTGTGTCTGTCTGTGTGTCTATGTTGTGTGTCTCTCTCTGTGTGTCTCTGTGTTGTCTCTCTCTCTGCTTGTGTGTCTGTCTGTGTGTCTATGTTGTGTGTCTCTCTCTGTGTCTCTCTCTGTCTCTCTCTGCTTGTGTGTCTGTCTGTGTGTCTTTGTTGTGTGTCTCTCTCTGTGTCTCTCTCTGTCTCTCTCTGCTTGTGTGTCTGTCTGTGTGTCTATGTTGTGTGTCTCTCTCTGTGTCTCTCTCTGTCTCTCTCTGCTCGTGTGTCTGTCTGTGTGTCTATGTTGTGTGTCTCTCTCTGTGTCTCTCTCTGTCTCTCTCTGCTTGTGTATCTGTCTGTGTGTCTCCGTGTCTGTGTTTTGTCTCTCTCTCAAATGTAGTTCTACCTGATGACGATTGCTTGTATTGCAATCGAAACGTCGTACTCTATCATTTAATATATTTTCTTTCTACGTGACTTTACCGAAAGAACCAAAGAGTGAATCTTCCTCTAGTTTGCAGATTCACCGATCAAAGGAATTTGGGGGGGGGGGGGGGGGGGTGGTGTGTGCGGGATTGGGGTGGGTTCACAGACGAGCGAGCCGGGGGTGCAGTGGCGCAGAGCCGCAGCGTTGGAGGCGAGGGTTGGTGGATCGCACAGAAATTCGCTGGGCTGTGAGTTGGTAGGACAGGGGCTTGTGGTACCACGCTGAGCGTGGGGCTCAGCGTGTCGCCACCTCGCGCGTGCACGGCGCCTTTGGCCAAGCATCCCAATCCAGGCCACCACCAAGTTTCAAAGCCACGAGTTATTTGTGTTTACATTGATACTATCAACCCATCGTGATCATCGCCACCACCATTTGAATCGCCTTCAGTGAGCTTGAGACGCTCTTGGAAGGGACGATGGGCGACGGTCAGGGATGGTGACGGAGCGCGTCCGACAGGGGACTCCACGGGGGTGGGGGGGAGATGGAGCGATCGGGCTCGTGTGAATGTGCCAGGGACGGTGGTTTATTACATCGCGGGATCGTGAGAGTGGAGGCCTTCGTCCAGCAGCGGATCGATCATGGTGATGGTGGTGGTGATCGCTTTGCAGGCGAAGGGGCAGCAGGTGGCCAGGTTGGTGCAGGAAGCTCTCGGTGTGCTGAACGCGGCGGAGCAGCAGCTGCTGGACGCGTACCAGAGCCTGCAGGGCCTGGAGAACATGCGCACCGTGAGTGCTACACAACGCACACCCACACACACACACATGCACGCACACACAAAGATAAAGATCCCCCATATAGCCTTAACAGACTGTAGGGGCAAGTGCCGTTAGCGAGCACCTATGAAGGCCGGAACGGTACACGAGGGGGTGGGTGGCCAGCACCACGCCCGACCGCCTATGACTCCCTAGTGGCGATGTTTACACACCGCACCAGGTGCTCATTTGCACGCACACACATGCACGCACACACATGCACGCACACACACACATGCACGCACACACACACATGCACGCACACACACACATGCATGCACACACACATGCACGCACACACACACATGCACGCACACACATGCATACACACACATGCACGCACACATACACATGCACGCACACACACACACACCGTGAGTTCTACACAGCGCACGCATGCTCACACACACGGACACACACACACAAAGCATGCACGCACACACACAAAGCATGCATGTGCACGCGCATGCACATGCACGCACGTGTTTAGAGTCACACGGCCGAGTAATGTCAGAAACTGGAGGAAAATCAGCACGAGCGACATCACGGAATGTAAATCACGTGATCGGTCACTGCCATGGGACGTGCTCACGTGTCCTGCATTGGGCTCGTGTGTCTGCACGAACACGTGTGTATGTAGAGAGTGTGTACGTGGGGAGCGGTGGCACGCTGCGCGGTGACACACCCGGCAACCCGAGTGAGAATCCCGCTCACGGCCAACACCGGTGACGATTATCTGAACCCGTCCTGGGCCTCCCCTAGGTCGACTCGGCCTCAAATGAGTAGCTGGTTTGGTGTGTGAACATCGCCACTGGGGAGACAAAGGCGGCCGGGCGTGGTGCTGGCCACCCACCCCCTCGTGGGCCGTGTCGGCCTTCGCAGGTGCTGCTCGCTAACAGCACTTGCCCCAACAGTCTGTTCAGGCTACACGGGGGATCTTTGTCATTGTACGGGCGTTTAGTTGTAGGGGTTTGTACGTTGGTTAGCCATTGACGTGAGTTCGATTCCCGGCCACGGCTCACAATCCGTGGCATGCGTCTCAACCGGTGATGGGCCTCTCCCCTAGGTTGGCTCGGCTTTAAATGAATCCTCGGCGCGGTGCGCGAACGTCGGCGCTGGTGAGACGCAGGCAGCCGGGGACGCAGCGCCGGAAGGCGCTCGCGAACGGCACTTGCCCCGGCGTCCTGTGTAGGCTACGCGGGGGACCTTTGTCTTTGCGTGCGACGCAGGAGTGCGAGCAGCTGGCGGCCGAGGTGGACGGCGCCCTGCAGGGTCTCTCCGCGTGGCTCAACGAGCGCGGGCCCACCGGGGACCTCGAGTCGCTGGTGCAGCGGGCGGAGGAGCACGCGCGGCGCATGCAGGAGGCGGTGCGCAACCTCACCCGGTGGGAGCAGCACGACGCACACGGAGCACGACACGCACGGAGCACGACACACACGGAGCACGACACACACAGAGCACGACACACACGGAGCATGATATACACGGAGCACGACACACACGGAGCACGACACACACGGAGCACGACACACACAGAGCACGATATACACGGAGCACGATATACACGGAGCACGACACACACGGAGCACGACACACACGGAGCACGACACACACGGAGCACGACGCGCACGGAGCACGATAAACACGGAGCACGATATACACGGAGCACGACGCACACGGAGCACGATGCGCACGGAGCACGACGCACACGGAGCACGACGCACACGGAGCACGACACACACGGAGCATGATATACACGGAGCACGACACACACGGAGCACGATATACACGGAGCACGACACACACGGAGCACGACACACAAACGGAGCACGACACACACGGAGCACGACACACACACGGAGCACGACACACACGGAGCACGACACACACGGAGCACGACGCGCACGGAGCACGACACACACGGAGCACGACGCGCACGGAGCACGACACACACGGAGCACGACGCACACGGAGCACGACGCACACGGAGCACGACGCACACGGAGCACGACACACACGGAGCACGACACACACGGAGCACGACGCGCAGGGAGCACGACGCGCACGGAGCACGACGCACACGGAGCACGACGCACACGGAGCACGACGCACACGGAGCACGACACACACGGAGCACGACGCACACGGAGCACGACACACACGGAGCACGACGCGCACGGAGCACGACACGCACGGAGCACGACACACACGGAGCACGACGCACACGGAGCACGACACACACGGAGCACGACGCGCACGGAGCACGACACGCACGGAGCACGACACACACGGAGCACGACGCACACGGAGCACGACACACACGGAGCACGACGCGCACGGAGCACGACGCACACGGAGCCGGCAGTCGTCCAGCTCTTAACCCGGGCCCTCTCCTCTCCCGCCTCCTGGCCGCCGCGCACTAGGAGCGTGGCGACAGACGACACCAGCGGCTTCACACAGAAGGCGATCAACGCCTCCAGGGCCTACGGGGACATCATCAAGGCCCTCAAGGAGGCCGAGGCGGCCTCAACGATGGCACTCGACACGGCCATGCGCGTCGAGCAGGTGAGGACGACGATGACCACGCGAGGGGGAGCCCGTTGGCTCACAATTGTCTCCCTGTCTCAGATTGAGCGTGGGATCTCTCTCTCTCTGTGGTGGCCAGCCTTGAACCAGTCGTTACACATTCCTGTCTTGGGGAAGGATTTTTGTTTTATTCCCACGAGACAACAATAGCTGGCTTCCCATGAAGCGGCCGTTATTTTACCCACCCAATAGGCATGATGGGCCCGAGTCGATCCCTGGGCAGGTTTCTACGCTGGTAACTTAAACAACTGTGCTGGGAATATTTAATATGTATTCATAGCTGTCAACCCCTTATCAGAGTCTAACTTATTACAGACCAATTCAGACCTTGGTCGCCCCGTGCCCTTATAAATCTCAGTGTTCATCTTACAAACTCCCATCGCAAGGGAGAAACACAAACAAATAGACAAAAACATGTTTTTGCCCGCATTGAAACGGCTGTACGCCATATGGTCCTTGAAAACATAAAATTTCCTGTACAAGAATACCAGGGTTAAGCCGTAATGGGTTAACAGGTATGTGTGTTTGCTGGCTAACAGCACCAATAGTCTGTTGACGCTATGAGGGGGAGCTGTGTGTGTCCGTGTGTGTGCTTGTGGGGAGCGATAGTGTAGCGGTTAGCGCTACGCTGCGCTATGAACCTGGCGACCCGGGTTCGATTCCCGCTCACGGCCAACACCGCCAGTGACGATTATCTGAACCGGTCCTGGGCCTCCCCTAGATCGACTCAGCCTCAAATGAGTACCTGGTACGGTGTGTAAACATCACCACTGGGGAGACAAAGGCGGCCGGGCGTGGTGTTGGCCACTCACCCCCTCGTGTGCCGTGCCGGCCTTTATAGGTGCTCGCTAACAGCACTTGCCCCAACAGTCTGTTAAGGCTACACGGGGGATCTTTGTCTTTCTCCCTGGCTCACCTGAGCTCTCGCCTGGCTAAGCAAAATCATGAACCTGAAACTCGTACGGCCTGTGTCGCGTTCCATCGCGTCCCCAACAGGACGTGGACACCAAAGACTTTCCAAGGAAAGCGAAGGCCTCACGAGAGGAGAGCGAGAACCAGCTGATCAACGCAAACACCGCCAAGGACCAGTTGGAGTCCGGTACGGGGAGAGCGCGTGTGTCCCATCCTGTGTGTGTGTGTGTAGTGAGACAAAGGCGGTCGGGCGTGGTGCTGGCCAACCACCCTTTCGTGTGCAGTGCTGACCTTCATAGGTGCTCGCTAACAGCACTTGCCCCAACAGCCTGTTAAGGCTACACGGGGGATCTTTGTCTTTGATATTTTGAGTGTACATGTGTGTGTGGCGTGAGTGTGGGGAGAGGTAGTGCAGCGGTTAGCGCTACGCTGCGCTTCGAATCCGGCCACCGGAGTCGATTCCCGCTCACAGACACCACCAGTAACGATTATTTAAACCGGTCCCGGGCCTCCCCTAGATCGACACGGCCTCAAATGAGTACCTGGTGAGGTGTGTAAACATCGCCACTAGGGAGACAAAGGCGGCCGGGCGTGGTGCTGGCCACCCACCCCCTCGCCAACAGCACTTGCCCCAACAGTCTGTTAAGGCAATACGGGGGATTTTTGTCTTTGCGCTGTGTGGCTGCGCTCTCAGTGACAGAGCAGGAACTGCAAGGAGCGAAGGAGCGGTTGGCCGCGACCCAGCGCAAGCGAGCAGAAGTGCAGGCGGCGCTAAAAGCCGCCATCGACAACATCAACATGGTCTCCCGAGGTGCGCGGAGCTCCGTGCCACCAGCACGCACTCCCACGTACACACACACACATATACACACTCCCACGTACATGTACACACAACAACAACAACAGCAACCGCCATTCGCCACTAAGTGGCGGTGACGCCACCACGACGCTTGTGCCAGGCCATGTGCACCTTGAGGCCACGTGAAGTGTCGAATGCCCGCGGGCAGGAGGTCACGGGGCAGACCCAGGTGCCACGGGTCGACTGACTGAGACGACTGGCTGATGCACCACCTGTGCCCCCTACTGTGCCAACTTGCTGTGCTTTAGCCACCCAGCGCTCCACTCGTTGTTGTGAGCTTCGCTCCTCCCCCCTCCGTTGTTGTTGGAGGGCGACTGCCTCCAACTGCCCACTAGCGTCCTTCACGAGCCTCCTCCACAGAGGCCGAGCTTGACACCGCTGGTACCAGTCATCGGCAAGTCCACTCAGCCCCACGTCCTTCTGTACCACATCACTCCATCTTTCGATTTAAAGCTTTCGTGACTGCAAGGATTCATCTTCTTTGGTTCTTTCGGTAAAGTCACGTAGAATGAGAATAAAATAATAAATTGATAAAATAAAATAACACAATAAAATTCTCACGATGTTTCGGCCACAGCACAAGTGGCCTTCATCAGCCTGTGCTGCGCCCTTTTAGCCCCCTCGATCCGGCCGAACAAAAGCTGTTTAGGCATGTAGTGGCTGGGCATGCGGGCTACATGACCCAGCCAATACAGCCTTGCCTGCCTGAGGAGCTCACCGATGGGACCAGATCTTTCAAGGATATGTGAGCTCCTCACACAATCAAGCCTGGTTAAACCCAGGATGGGTCGTAGGCAGGCCAGCCTAAATGTTTCTAACCGGCGAAGATGTTCCATTAGGCGGGTCCACGTTTCGCAAACGTAGAAAAGGGAGGGAATGACTGTGGCCGAGAAGACCTGAAGCTTCGTGCGGAGCGACAGACCAGGTAGCTTTCACACAGCGTTGAAACCGATGAAAAGATAATGCCACTCGACTGATTCGGAGTGAGACCTCTGCTGTCAAACCGGAGCCGGTCATGAGCACACTGCCCAGGTATGGGAAACTCTCCACTGTCTCCACAACTGCCCTATCACCAATTGGGAATTGTGGGGTGGAGTGTCCGATGGTACAAAATACCCAGGCAGGTGCTTATTTTTGGTGGGGCTGATGGTAAGTCCCCACCTCTTAGTGGCAAACTCCAGGTTCAGCAGCAGCGCCTCCAACTCCTCCTCTGAGGAGCAGCAATATACCAGATCATCGGCATACATAACATGGTTGAGCAATAGGGAGCCATCCTTTGACCACACCCGGGCATTGATCCGCCTCCCATTGTATCTGTACCAGATGGAAATTCCTCCGATACTGCTATTGAAGGTTTCACGAACTACGTGGTCGAAATAGATGTTAAATAACGGGGACATCCCTGTCGCACCCCAAAGTGAACAGGGAATGGCTCCGACTCCCGGCCACGTAGTTTTACCCGGGCCCGCTCACCATCATGAAGGTCCTTAATGATCGTGAGCAGCGGGTCAGGGACTCTGAATGCACGAAGAACAACCCAGAGCCCAGGCCTACTGATGGTATCATCGGTCTTGACTAGGTCAATAAAGCAGAGATGTAGGTCTTGTTGGAATTCCCTACACCTCTACTGTAGCAGACGGACATAAAATATGGCATCTGTGCAGGACCGCCCTTTCCTGAAACCGCAATGGGGCTCCGCAAGCCTCACAGCGTGCCTGGCAAGGCGATGTTGAATAATCCTTGCCAGGACCTTTCCCGGCACACTGAGGAGTGAAATGCCCCTGTAGTTGTCACAGTCTATGCGGTCCCCCTTCTTAAAGAGGGGGACCACCAGGGCATCCTTCAAATCCTGCTGAACCCGGCCAGTGGACCAGACTGTTGTTATGATGTCATGTAGGGCAGTCTGTGCACAAACGCCACCCTCCCTCAGCATTTCGCTTGGGAGATCATCTCTGCCCTGTGCTTTTCCTGGTCTCAGGCTCTGGATCGCCCTCAGTACTTCCTCAACAGATGGCACCTCAGCCAGCCACTCACAGGGGGTGACTTCTTCTTCCAATATTTGAGGCACCACAGCCTCAGCAGGGTCATCCCCACTTTGTCCCACGATGTTTTCCAGGCTGAGGGATTTCCCCTCTCCCAGGATCCCACAGAAATGCTGAGCAAATCTGCAAACCTGTTCCTGGCGGTCGGAGATTAGATCACCGTTCTTTCCCCTAATGATGGTAATAGGTGTGGCGCTGCAGGCTACTTTTTTGATGGAATTAAAGAGCGATTTTTGATTGCGAGCCATTGAGGCAGACTTCATCTCCTCAGCAACCCGCGACCACCAACCATCCTTGCAGCGCCTCACGGCTCTCCGAACCTCCGAGCGATGGCTGCGGTAAGCCTCCTCTTTCTCTGACGTGGGATGCTGTAGACGATGAGAGTGGGCCTGTCGCTTTTTCTCTGTCAGCCAGGGTCTCTGAGGAAGTCTGGACTGTGTACCCAAAGCTGCCATTGCAGCTGCATGAGCTGCAGTCCTAAACCTCGCCAATTTCCCCTCGACATCAAGAGGATTAGGGGACGATGCCAACCCCAGCCGCAAGCGATGATGAAATTCTCGCTTGCAACTTTCATCAGCTAGATGAGACCATGCCATGATGGGTTTGAATAGGGTCCTGGGTGTACACCCACCACCAGAGTGGAAGAATGGCAGGCGCATCTTACAGATGACAAGTCGATGGTCAGTGGGCAGATCAGCTCCACGGTAGGTCCTGGTGTCAAGGACATGGGCCGGCATCCGCTGTTCCGTCACTATGTAGTCCAGCAGATGTTCTTGCTTGGACCCGGCATGCATCCATGATGTTGTGTGGATGCGCCGATGCCGGAACAGCGTGTTGGTAATTACAAGCCCATGAGCTGCACAAAAATCTAGCAGCCTACTACCGTTGTTATTGAGCTGAACTGGCCCATGTCTTCCAATCACTCCAGACCAGGTGCTAACATAATGACCAACTCGGGCATTGAAGTTACCCAACAAGATGGCTCTATCCCGAGGGGCCACTTTGGCCAGCACCTGTGACAGGAGGTCATAGAAGGCATCCGACTCATCGGTCTTGCCTACAACCCTCCATGGATGTTCGTCTTCGGTGGGAGCATAAGTAACCACGGCCACCACTATTCGCCTCCGGTTGATGGGAAGGCGAACCCAAAGTAGCCTTCCTATGGCACGATACACACAGCACGATACAAACGGCATGATGCACACGGAGCACGATACACACGTAGCACGATACACAGACACGATGCACATTCCCACGTACACACGCACACACTCCCACGTACACCCAGACTAACTTCCACATACACACACACTCACGCACTCCCACGTAAACACACACTCCGATGAGAACACACTCCAACGTACACACACTCCCACGGGAACACACTCCAACGTACACACACTCCCACGTAAACACACACTCCAACATACACTCACTCCCACGTCCACACTCTCCCACGGGAACACTCTCCCACATACACACACTCCCACATACACACACTCCCACATCACACTCCCACGTCCGCGCACTCCCACATACACACACTCCCACGGAAACACTCTCCCACGTAAACACACTCTCCCACGGGGACACTCTCCCACACACTCCCACAGGAACACTCTCCCACGTAAACACACACTCCGATGGGAACACACTCCAACGTACACACACACACTCCCACGGGGACACTCTCCCACACACTACCACGGGGGCACTCTCCCACACTCTCCCACATCCACACACTCCCACATACACACACTCCCACATCACACTCCCACGTCCGCACACTCCCACATACACACACTCCCACGGAAACACTCTCCCACGTAAACACACACTCCCACGGGGACACACTCCCACGTCCACACACTCCCACGTCCACACTCTCCCACGTAAACACACTCTCCCACGGGGACACTCTCCCACACTCTCCCACGGGGACACTCTCCCACACACTCCCACGGGGACACTCTCCCACACTCTCCCACGTAAACACACTCTCCCACATCCACACTCTCCCACAGGAACACTCTCCCACGTAAACACACTCTCCCACGGGGACACTCTCCCACACACTCCCACGGGGACACTCTCCCACACTCTCCCACGTAAACACACTCTCCCACATCCACACTCTCCCACAGGAACACTCTCCCACGTAAACACACTCTCCCACGGGGACACTCTCCCACACTCTCCCACATCCACACACTCCCACACTCTCCCACGGGCACACTCACCCAACGGCCCATTGGCGCTTCCCTCTCTGACCTCTGACCTTGTCACCGTCGCGGCCGTGGTCGCGGTTCACACACCGCCTCCCGCCGACCGCCGCCACCGTCGTTGTCGCCGCGGGCCCCAGGGGACGTGGGAGAGGTGCTGAACCGCACGCTGCAGGCGGCCGGCGACGCGCAGGCCGTCGCCGCCGAGGTGGACGCCGCCGTGGGGCCCGTGGAGCGGCAGCTCGACGAGTGGAGGGCCAAGTTCGGCCGCGCGCCGGCCGACAACGCGGCCTACAGCGCCGCCCTCACCGACGCCAAAAGGACGAGTGAGCCCCGCTACCCCCCCACCACCACCACCCCCCCCCCACCACCACCACCCCCCCCACCACCACCCCCACCACCCCCACCGACGCCAAAAGGATGAGTGAGCCCCCCCCACCACCACCACCCCCCCACCACCCCCCCACCACCCCCCCCACCACCACCCCCACCACCCCCACCAACGCCAAAAGGACGAGTGAGTGAATGAGTGAGTGTGTGTGAGTGTGTGTGTGTAAGTGTGGGTACGTGTGAGTGAGTGTGTGTGGCACAGTAGGGGGCAAAGCTGGGTGCATCTGCCCGTCATCACAGTCGGTCAACCCACGGGCACCTGGGTCTTGTCCCGTGACCTCCTGTGAGTGAGCATTCGACACTTCACTTAGCTTCAAAGTGCACCTGGCCTGGCACGGGTGCCGTGGTGACGTCACCGCCGCTTAGTGGCCAACGGAGGCTGTTGTTGGTGTTGTTTGTTTGGCCCACTGCCAACGGTGTTTGAAAGTCCAAGTCGGCGCCGGTAAGGGAACTATTCTCCCCCACCGCTGGTAGAGCTGCTTGCTGTGGTTGCTCGTTTCCGTGAGGGAGCTCAGTGCGGTGATTGGCCGCTGCCTCTGCGTGCAGTGAAAACCCTGGCGGAGACGATCCCCGACATCCTGCAGAAGCTGGATCGCCTGCAGAACCGCATCCCGTCCTCGAACATCGCCAACAACATCTCCCGCATCCAGACGCTCATCGCACAGGCCCGGGATGCGGCCATGAAGGCACGTGTGGGGCACAGGGCGGCACGCGCACGGCTCACCACGCGCGACGTCGCAGCAACAGCATGGCAGCTCGCGCTCCGCCGAGTGGCAACGTCGCGCCGCAACGCGGCGTCCCGCACACGGACTGTTGGGGCGAGTGCTGTCAGTGAGCGGCTACTATGAAGGCCGGCGCTGTGGCACACGGCGGGGTGGGTGGCCAGGGGAGGCCCAGGGCCGGTGTTGGCCGTGAGCGGGAATCTAGCTCCGTAACGCCGCACGATAACCACCGCACTACCGGTCCTCACTGACACATAAACATACATCTGGCTGCTATAAATTTCCGCATGATGAAAAAGCCACTTCGTTGAGCTATCATTTTTTGGCCAGGCTGTTTCTATACAGCTGAGTGGGCCTTACCCGGTAGGTAAAAAGTAAAAAAAAAAAGACACGCACGCAAACCCTCGTACATCCACTCCCGCACACTGTGGCGACACACGTGCAAACTCACGAGCGCGCGGATTCGCGGGTCTCCTGTGACTCGCCGCCTCTCCCCGCCGCGCAGGTCAAGGTGTCCATGAAGTTCAACGGCACCTCGGGGGTCCAGGTGCGCCCGCTGCAGAACCTGCAGGACCTCAAGGCCTACTCGCTCCTCAGCTTCTACATCCGCATGGGCGAGCAGCAGCGGCGGCGGCAGACGGAGCCCGACAGCCGCTTCGTCATGTACCTGGGCAGCAAGAAGGCATGTGCCTGCACCGCGCGGTACACCGCGCAGCCACCGTGCCGGCACCGTACCGGCACCACGCTAGCACCGTGCCACGCCGAAACCGCGCTCCGCTGGAGCCGCCGCATCCCGTTGCTACGGCGATGGATTACTCGGCCGATAATCATCGGCTCGGTCGCTCGGCTAACCGCGGACGGCCCGGAAATAGTTTTGGTGGTGGAACAAAAAAAAGTCTGGTTTCTGCTTAGAAACGCGTGACGTTGATTCTAAATGTGGAGGGGAAAACCGGGGGACCCGGAGAAAAATCCACACGACCACGGGCAGAACACGCAAACCCCAAATATGTACAGACGTCAGGGTCGGGATCGAACCCACGACCTCCTGCATACCGGGCGGTGCGTGGCTCTGAAAACCGGTCGTTGGCTCTGCTCGCTTCCCTTGCGCAGGCCGACAAGAACTTCCTGGGCGTCACGGTGAAGAACGGCAACATCGCGTACGTGTACAACCTGGGCGGGGAGGACGCTGAGCTGCAGGTGGAGGACAAACGGATAAGCGGGGAGGACTTCACGCAAGTCCGCATCGAGCGGTACGACACACGGACTTCGCATTCCCAAAGACGAAGTTCCCACCCCCCCCCCCCGCCCCCTCCCGCCTTGTAGGCCTTAACAGTCCGTTAAACTCTCCACGGGGGCGGGCGCCTCGTGGCTCTCTCCGCCGTTGTCTCCGCGCAGCATCAAGCAGCACGGGAAGCTGCGCGTGACGGAGAAGCAGTACACGAGCACGGCCACCGGCTCGCTGTCCGGCGACTTCTCCCTGCTGCACCTCGACCCCGAGGACACCGTCTTCTACGTCGGGGGCGTCCCCCCCGGATTCCAGGTTCGCCCCCCCCCCCCCCCCAGCCCGCGCGCGTCACGCGCACCGCGTCACACGCACGTCATGCGCACGATGTCACGCGTACAACGTCGCACGCACAATGTCACGCGCGTGACGTCACACGCACGTGACGTCACACGCATAACGTCATGCGCACGACGTCACGCGCATAACGTCACACGCACAATGTCACGCGCACCGCGTCACACGCACGTCATGCGCACGATGTCACACGTACAATTTCACACGCACAATGTCACGCGCACCGCATCACACGCACGTCATGCGCACGATGTCACACGTACAATTTCACACGCACAATGTCACGTGCACGACGTCACGCGCACGACGTCACGCGCGCGACGTCACGCGCACAACGTCACACGCACAACGTCACGCGCACGACGTCACGCGCACGACGTCACACGCCGCCACTGGCTCCGCTGGGGTTGCTCGAGCGTGGTTGGATTCGGGCACACTTGGCGCTGAGGAATTTGGCTGCGGGGTTTGTGACGTGGAGGGTGTCCCTGATCGCTTGGTCGACTCAGCCTCAAATAAGTTTGTCGTGCGGTGTGTAAACATCGCCACTGGGGAGACAAAGGCGGCCGGGCATAGTGCTGGCCACCCACCCCCTCGTGTGCCGTTCCGGCCTTCATAGGTGTTCGCTAACAGCACTTGCCCCAACAGTCCGTTAAGGCTACACGGGGGATCTTTGTCTTTGTGTGCTCGTGTGTGCTCACGAGGGTGCGGTAGTGTAGCGCCACTTTGGCCCGCTGCTGCCCTCCCGGGCCTCCTCCTGGTTAATGCGGACACGCAATCTGCCCTTCCCGAAGAGGACATTTCAAATAAAGTTTTGCCGTTTCACAAACCCCACTGACGTCCCCCCCCGCCCGCCACGACTGTATATCCTTGAAAGTACTTATTCTTATTCTTGGTTCTTTCAGTAAAGTCACGTAGAAGGGAAACAATAAAATATTATAAAATATTATTTTATTGTTTCCCTTCTACGTGACTTTACCGAAAGAACCAATAATATGAATCCCTGCAGTCACGAAAGCTTTAAATAAAAATTTAGTACTTCTTCTTGTTATCTAATCGGCGTCGTCTCGACCGATGTCCCGTGGCACGTCGATGATTCGGCCTCGGGGGGGGGGGGGGGGGGGGGAAGGCCTCAGGACCAGTTTGGATGTTCGCCACCGGTGTTGACCGCGACTGGGGATCGAACTCGGGTCGCCGGGTTTCGTAGCGCAGCGCTAACCGCTCCGCTGCCGGTTCACACGCGCGCGTACTTGCGTGCGAAGTGTCGCCTACATTTGTTTCCTTTCATGGCCACGCAGTGTCACTGATGGAGGTGGTGAGTTTTTTTTTAATTTCATCGCACCCCCGATCCACACATGGCTCCCAGGGCCTGGGGAGACACTCACCCGGCAGCGGATTGACGAGAGGGGCTGTACGTGCGAGCTCCGTGCGTGCGAGCTCCGTGCGTGCGTGCGTGCGAGCTCCGTACGACATTCGCATACATTATACACCCAGTCCGTGTTATTCACCAGAAACATCGCACATCATCTACGCGAGGATTTTGGCTTCGCCCACTGTGCCCGTGTCACTGGCGACAGTTGTCATCGACTTTCCTCGCCCCTTCACGCTCCCCCATTATACTCTCCCCACCCCCCCCCCCCCCCCGTGTCGGTTCAGCTGCCCCCGAGCCTGCGCTACCCCAACTTCATCGGCTGCATCGAGCTTGCCACCATCAACGACAACGCAGTGAGCCTCTACAACTTTGAGCGGCTCATCAACATGAACACCACGCTCTCCTACCCGTGCGGGCGGTGAGTGTACGGACGCGTCGTAACGCCCCGCGCACAATTCGCCCGTCCCGTACGGGACGAGGAGCGAGATTAAATGTTTTTTTGTTTTTTTTTAAAAGGGCCAGCATCTCAAACGCCTTGGCCAGCTAGGCTGGGATTCCGAAGCGGGACACTTCCAAATGTTGGCGGGGGGGGGGGGGTGGGGTGGGGGGGGGTGACCTTTCGTTCAATGCCCGCCGACTTTCCATCGGGTGTGATAGCGACACTCGACTTCGCGTCGAGGTTTTCATTCATTAAGAATCATCTTTAAGAGAGATAGCGCGTTGCCTGTGCTCCGCCCACGGCGTCACTAGCAGAAGAAAGGGACGGACGGACGGACGGAGGTAGTGCACGGACGGGCCTTGGCAGGAAAGCGCCGACGATGCGTCGTGGCGTCTCAGCGAAGGCGAGAGGCATTCTCACCCGGGAAACTTGTGAATTGCGGCTCTCCGCGCAGAGGCAAGGGCTTCTCGGAGAGGAACAGCAACACCTTCTACTTCGACGGCTCGGGTTTCATCAGCGTGGAGGACGTGGACCGGGACAAGAAGATCAAGCCCACGCTCGCCAAGTTCGACATGGAGATCCGCACGTCGGCCGACAACGCCCTCGTGCTCTACATGGCTGACGGGGTGGGTGACGCGGCGCTTCTCGGCGCTCGGCTGCCGTGCTTCCGCCTGTCCGTGTGTCTGTATGTAAGTGTGTGTGTGTCTGTATGTAAGTGTGTGTGTGTCTGTATGTAAGTGTGTGTGTGTCTGTATGTAAGTGTGTGTGTGTCTGTATGTAAGTGTGTCTGTATGTATGTAAGTGTGTGTGTCTGTATGTAAGTGTGTGTCTGTATGTAAGTGTGTGTCTGTATGTAAGTGTGTCTGTATGTAAGTGTGTCTGTATGTAAGTGTGTGTCTGTGTCTGTATGTAAGTGTGTGTCTGTATGTAAGTGTGTGTGTGTGTCTGTATGTAAGTGTGTGTGTGTCTGTATGTAAGTGTGTGTGTGTCTGTATGTAAGTGTGTGTCTGTATGTAAGTGTTGTCTGTATGTAAGTGTGTGTCTGTATGTAAGTGTGTGTCTGTATGTAAGTGTGTGTCTGTATGTAAGTGTGTCTCTGTATGTAAGTGTGTGTCTGTGTCTGTATGTAAGTGTGTGTCTGTATGTAAGTGTGTGTGTGTCTGTATGTAAGTGTGTGTCTGTATGTAAGTGTTTGTCTGTATGTAAGTGTGTGTCTGTGTCTGTATGTAAGTGTGTGTCTGTATGTAAGTGTGTCTGTATGTAAGTGTGTGTCTGTATGTAAGTGTGTGTGTGTCTGTATGTAAGTGTGTGTCTGTATGTAAGTGTGTCTGTGTCTGCATGTAAGTGTGTCTGTATGTAAGTGTGTGTCTGTATGTAAGTGTGTGTGTGTCTGTATGTAAGTGTGTGTCTGTATGTAAGTGTGTGTCTGTATGTAAGTGTGTGTCTGTATGTAAGTGTGTCTCTTTATGTAAGTGTGTCTCTTTATGTAAGTGTGTGTCTGTGTCTGTATGTAAGTGTGTGTCTGTATGTAAGTGTGTCTGTATGTAAGTGTGTGTCTGTATGTAAGTGTGTGTGTGTCTGTATGTAAGTGTGTGTCTGTATGTAAGTGTGTGTCTGTGTCTGTATGTAAGTGTGTGTCTGTGTCTGTATGTAAGTCTGTGTGTCTGTCTGTATGTAAGTGTGTGTGTGTCTTGTAAGTGTGTGTGTCTGTATGTAAGTGTGTGTGTGTCTGTATGTAAGTGTGTGTCTGTGTCTGAATGTAAGTGTGTGTCTGTGTCTGTATGTAAGTGTGTGTGTCTGTCTGTATGTAAGTGTGTGTGTGTGTCTGTATGTAAGTGTGTGTGATAATCGGAGGTGCAGGGGGGGGGGGGGGGGGGTAGGACATCATCACCAGTGGACGTGAACACCCACCACCCTCTTTAGCTCATTCTTTCAGAACTGCTTTTTGTGTTCAGTTTGTTGTCCTTCCCAACCCACACCTCCGATAAGCGCGGATTGCTACGTACGGTGCGACAAAAGTTCAACATACGTCCATCACTTGGTGGACGTCTGCCCGGCCTGATGTCCCGAACAAGGGTCGAGGCGTTTTCCCTGCGGGCCACGCGACATCGTGTCCCGCGTGCCCCAGACGGCACGACGTCCGAGCAGGCGGCCACGATTGCGGACCCCGGCGTCGCTCACTATCCCTTGCCCATCTCTCGTCGGGAGTATTTGCTAACGCGTCGCTCGTGTCTACGGCTTTCCGATATCTCTCTCTCTCTCTCTTTCATCTCGCTCATACTCGTTACGGTCTCTGCGAGCCGGATCTCAGCCGGGAGGACCCCAAGAGAGCTGTGGCTTGCGGGCCGCATCCTGGCCACGCAGGCCACCACACGCACCTCTGAATAGCGCGGTTGGCTGCGTGCGGCGCGACAGACGTTCAGCATAACAATGGAGCCCTGGTTTTTTTCGGCGTTTCGATGCCACAGCCGCCACCGACACCGCACACAGCGCCTGTTCTCCTACAGCGCATCGTCGTTGTCGCGCGAACGCGTGTGCGCAGGACAAGTTCCTGAGTCTGGAGATCCAGGAGGGGCTGCTGAGGCTGGCGTACGACTTCGGCTACAGCCAGGGCGTCAGCATTCCCACGCTCATGGAGAAGAAGCCGGTCAACGACGGGCAGCCACACACGGTGTGCGATCGCACGCTCCGGCCCCCACACCCCCCCCCCGCCCCCCGCCCGCCTTCCTTGCTCCATGCCCGTCGCTGGCCACTCGGAGTCGAAGTGATTTGAGCATCGAAGCATCAGTGGCTATCTACGGTTTACGGCTGTGAGCTAGTGGTGGAGATTCCACGTTGCTACGACGGGGCTGAGTCTATCCATAGGACAAGCGCTGTTGACTTCCTCACAACGTGCTGCTCGTCTCATCGACCCCCCCCCCCAGGGTAACTCGTGGACATCTGTGCAAAATCTATAACAATGACGAGAAAGCCCATCGTGACGTAAAGGCAGGGGAGTCTGGAAAGCCGTAATCTTGAAGGAAACACACAAAACATGTTGACAACAAGCACTCAGACTTTGTGCATCTGCGAATAAGAGCTTTACAGCTCATCGCATTCCTCCAAATATCAACAAATATTCTGATCGTGGCCCGAGTCAAAGCCCCCCCCCCCCCCCCCCCCCACCCAGGGTCAGAACTTGCAGCCCTTCCGCCACGCTTTATCCACCGCGGCCACTCGGCCACGTCACCCCACAGCGTCAGCGCTCGACAACGCGGCAGCGTCCGCCGGTTGAGAGTTGAGAGTTGAGAGTTCAAATCCCGCGCGGTGGCTGACCCCGCTCACCGTCGTCTCTCCGTGGACGATAATTTAAGCACCGCTGCTCCGTGGGACCGCGGTTGTCTTGTGGATAAATTTCCCCCCCCACCGACCCCGACCCCTCCCGGCCATGCGAATGTGGAATTCGTTTACTCTCGAGCTAGGCACAAACCGAGAGGGGAAATGAGCACCGCCCAGTGGCCGGTCTTGACCGTGGACGCTCTCCGTGGTCTCTTGATGACCCGAATTGAAGGCGTCCCCTTTGCCGCTGCGACGCGGCAGTTCATCGCGCTGCGCTGAGCCGGCATCGACGTGCTTGGCGACGCGTGTGTGGGGTTGGCGCCGCCGCGCTACGAACCCGGCGGACCCCTAGTTCGATTCCCGCTCGCGGCCTGCAACGGTGACGATTATCTGAACCGGTCGTGGTCCCCTAGGCCGACTCGGCCTCAGATGAGTACCCGGGGCGCTGTGTAAAACTTCGCCGCAGGGGAGGCAATGGAGACCGGGCGCGGAGCTGGCCACCCTCCCCTTCGTGTGCTGTGCCGGCCTTAACCGCAGCTTGTTAAAGGCTGTACGGGATATGTTTGTTGGAGTCTTTGCACAGAGCCAAAGTTCACCTCGCCTGGCACAAGCGCTGTGGTGATGTCAACACTACTTTTCGGCAAATAGCGGCTGTTGTTATTGTTGTTGTTGTTGCTGTTGTTGTTATTGTTGTAGTACAGAGCCAGTGGGCACAGTGGTTAGCGCACTGCGCTTTCTAACCAGTGACATGCGTTCAATAATTACCGGCCGCGGGTAACATCAGTGGCTGATAGCTCAACCAGTCCTGGGCCTCCCCTTGGTTGACTCGGCCTTAAATTAGTTCCTGGTGCAGTGTAATAAAAAAAAATAGCGACCGGGTAGAAAAATGTGGAGGGTGCGGTGTTGGCCACATTAACCCCTCGCGTGCCGCGACGGGCCTCAGGCGGACGTTCGATAACAGCACCTGCCCCAGCAACTCTGTGAAAAGCCACACGGTTGGTGGCGGGGGGGGTAATCTTTGTCTTCGTCTCTGAACAGATCCAGATAATTCACCGGCAGGCGGGCCGCATGTACCTACGTCTGGACCGCATCACCATTGCACAGGGCGCCACGCAGCCCGGCACCATGGTCTTCAAGCGCATGTTCATCGGCGGAGTCCCACCTGGAGCCATCAGCGAGCGGTCAGCAGAAGCAGCGGCGGCGGCGGCGGCAGCGGCAGCAGTCGAATTGGCAGCAGTCAATGGCAGCTGCAGGAGCAGCAGGCTCAGCTGCAACAGCATAGCGGCAACAGCAGGAGCGGCATGGGCAGCAGCAGGGGCAGGAGGTGTAGCTGCAGCGGCGTAGTAGCAGGAGCGGTAGTAGCAGTAGTAGTAGCAGCAGGTGCAGTAGCAGTGGTAGCAGCAGCAGCAGGTGCAGTGGTAGCAGCAGGAGCAGCAGTAGTGGTAGCAGCAGCAGTAGTAGTAGCAGCAGGTGCAGTAGCAATGGTAGCAGCAGCAGAAGCAGCAGGTGCAGTGGTAGCAGCAGGAGCAGCAGGTGCAGCAGCAGTGGTAGCAGTGGTAGCAGCAGCAGGTGCAGTGGTAGCAGCAGGAGCAGCAGTAGTGGTAGCAGTAGTAGTAGTAGCAGCAGCAGCAGGTGCAGTAGCAGTGGTAGCAGTGGTTGCAGCAGCAGGTGCAGTGGGAGCAGCAGCAGGAGCAGCAGTAGTGGTAGCAGCAGCAGGTGCAGTAGCAGGAGCAGCAGGAGCAGCAGTAGTGGTAGCAGCAGCAGGTGCAGTAGCAGCAGCAGCAGCACACCTCACGACAATACGCACAGTCTCCTCCTGCCTGAATTCCTCATGACCCCTCTGTGTATTCCGAGTGCTGATATTCGAGCAATCGACTCAATCCATCTCTTTACCATCCCTCCTCTGCGGTTAATAACTTGAGGTTGCGTTGCATTCTTAGTGAAAGGGGTGCAGCAGCCAACTTGAGAGTTTAAATCACCCATAGTGCCCCTGAGACTTCATACGACTGTCCTGGAAGCATGTCGGAATCGGTGATCGACGGCACATATTTACGGCTGTGACGCCGTGCGCGTATTGTAAAGCTGATGTTGTTGCGCACCTTGCGGTGGAGCGATAAACGAGTCGCGACGGTTGACGATCGCGAGCCCGGACGGTGGGCGTGGAGGTGCGGTTTGACCCCCAAGGGGTTGGCGTCGTCGCGTCTCGCAGGAGCCGTACCCACGTGACGACGGAGACGGGGCTCAAGGGCTGCCTCCTGAGCCTCAAGGTGCAGGACACCAACCTGGACCTGCAGAAGGAACAGATGATCGGAGTGAGCGCCGGCTGCTCAGACGACGTGCTGGTACGCGCACCGCACCTTGCCCTTCGTTCTCCGGGTCCCCCGGTTTTTTGTCCCTCCCACATTTAGAATCGAGGTGCATTTTAGAGTATTTGGCCGCTATAAGTGATAGGCCACTTTTGTTGAGCTGTCATTTGTGGCCAGGTCGCTTCTGAAAAAGGGCTATATAGCTCAGTGGGCCTTACCTGGTGAAATAAAAATAGTTTACTTTTTAGAAGGATCAAATGTGTTTGTGTAACTGAACCCGGGTGAACGTCACTGGAAGTCTCCCAACTTGTCGGTTTGTAGCCGCCCAACGAGATGTGAATCACGCTTTGAATCCGCTAAAATGTGCGTAGAGCTCACAGGCTCGCAAACCCTCCGAGAAAGAAACGTCTCGTTAGAAGAGTAACGTCACACAATGTTTAGAAAGAAAGTGTTACGCAATCTAACACGTAGAAGGCTATCGCGACCAATATTAATCATAATAAAGGATTTTTTTGGGGTTAGATCGCATAAATATAAATGTGTCATTAACCCACCACCACCCGACACGGCCAATTAGTAATGTTTGTCACGTGAACAAAACGTGCCAATTAGTGACTACTTCAGCAGACTTGGTTTTGTTGTTTGTGTGTAAATCCGCAACGTTTACAATTCGAGTACTGTGAAGTTTTCCCCGGCGATTACAACAACAACCAGGTCATCGGGCGATTTGCCAGATCTAACCCAAAAACCTTTACGATGCGTCTGTCACGCATCCCTCGCGTGCAGCCGAGACGCTCGACTTGCAACCGTGCTCCCCGAGGTCTCGCCGCTGGCCCCGCGGCCTCTCAAGCGCTCGCACCCCCTCTGACCTCGGCGTGCAGGTGTCGCGCAAGGCCTTCCTGGCGGGCGACGGGTTCATGTCGCTGGCCGTCAAGGATCCCTTCCCCGTGCTGGAGACGGGGCTCACGTTCCGCACCATGCAGCCAAGCGGCCTGCTCTTCTACTACTCCCTGCAGGTAGCGGCCCGGCCTGAAGCCGGCCACACCACCCACCCCAGTATCAACGGTCGGTGACTCCTGTCACGTGTGACGCGCGGTGGCGGTGGTTGTGGTGGTAGTGGTGCGGTGGGGAGAGACTCACGGGGCAGCCCTCCAACGTGCAGCTCCTGCTGTGTGTGTGTGTGTGTGAGCAGCCCGGCCAACTGGGCCCTTGACGCGGCTCACATCCCCCATCCATGTCTAAGTGAAGCATGTTGCCCTTCTTGATCACTGCAAACAATAATAAAAACAAAGACAAAAGGTCCCCCATACAGCCTTTAACAGACTGTTACCCAGGCTAATCGAGAGTTGACTGTGCGGGGAGTGGAGTGCTGCGCTACGAACCTGGCGACCCGAGTTCGATTGCCACTCACGGCCAACACCAGTGACGATTATCTAAATTCGTCCTGGGCCTCCCCTAGATCGACTCAGCCTCAAATGAGTACCTGGTGCGGTGTGTAAACATCGCCACTGGATAGACAAAGGCGGCCGGGCGTGGTGCTGGTGACCCAACCCTTCGTGCGCCGTGCCGACCTTCACAGGTGCTCGCTAACGGCACTTGCCCCAACAGTCTGTTAAAGCCACACGGGGGATCTATGTCTGTGTGTGTGTGTGCAGGGTGAGATTCTGTCGGTCGCCCTCAAAGAGGGGGCGGTGGTCCTGAAGACGAAGGAGGACACCCTGCGGACCATGAGCGCCGGATACAACGACGGCTCCAACCACTACCTCTTCGCTCTGCGCAACTCCTCCAGGTGCCGCCTCGGCCTCCCCCGTCTCGGCCGTAGGAACGTGGAATTTCCGTATTGCCACCGCAGGCTCTGGCTTGTGAGAAGAGACGAGCTCGATGCGCGTGCCCCCCTCCCCCCGAGGCGGGCGCGTGCGTGCGTGCGGCTTCGTCGTTCTTTCTGGGTGTGCGTCTGTGCGTGCGTGTGTCTTTGCCTGCGCATGTGCATCTGTGTCCATGCGTGTGTCTGTGCGTCCATGCGTTTGTCTGTGCCTGCGTGCGGGGCGGTTTTGTAGCAGGTTTGCGCACCGCGCTATGAACTTGGTGACCCGCGTTTCGATTTCCTGCTCGCAGCCAACGTCGGTGGCGAACATCTGAACTGGCCCTAGGTTTGACTCGGCCTTAAATAAGTACCCGGTGCGATATGCAAAACACCGTCAGTTGGGGGATACAAAAGTGGGGCGGTGTGAAGCGGCGACCACGCCGCTCCACACCGCCCCTTCGCCGCAGCCTTCATCGGCGCTCGCCAGCAGCGCTTGCTCCATCTGGGGATAGACGCGATTCAGTCACCGCCCCGCGGGACTTTTGAGGTGGGGCAGCTACATTGGGCAGCGCGTATAGGCTCCCTCCACTGTCGTCCCTTATGCCTTATTACCTCCCCACCCTCCCACCAGCCTATACAACAAACGACGCGCCAACTCGTTGTCCCCGCGTGTGTGGGGCGGTGAGTCCGCGGAGTTGTGTTGTGACCCCCCGTCCTCCACGTTGACCACGGGGTCTGTGCTTTGGGGCTCTTGTTGTTTTGTTCCAAAAAACAACAACGAAGCAGCGCTTGCTCCAGCAGTCTCCGTTCCAGGCTACAGAGGTTTGCCCGTTTCGGGCTGGGTGTGTGGTTGGTGGGGGTGTGACCGTCGCTCTCGTCTCTCCGCGTGCTCGGCACGCAGCCTGCGCCTGGTGCTGGACGACGTGGACGCCAGCGACAGCGCGGCGCCCTCCCTGCGCCTCGCCGGCCGGGAGGCTCAGCCCGGACGCCTCTTCGTGGGCGGGGTCCCCGACGCGCCGCCGACGCCGCTCGGCTTCGACAACTTCTCCGGCTGCATCAGCGACGTCTTCATACGCCGGTGGGCGGCGGCACCGCCGGGGGTTCCGGGCAGCGCCGGCTCCGGGGTTTGGGGCGGGGGGTCGAAGTGGGGGGTGGGGGGGGGGGGGTCATCCTTCGACGGCCCCGTTGCGCGCGTGTAGTCGTCGTGGATGCGTGCGCGTGAGTGAGGAGCGGTGGTGCAGTGGTTGGCGCTACGAACCCAGTGGCCCAAGTTTGATTCCCGCTCACGGCCAACACCAGTGACTATGAACCGGACCTGGGCCTGCCCTAGGATGACTCGGCCTAAAATGAGTACCTGGTGTGTGGTAAACATCGCTAGCACTGGGGAGACAAAGGCGGTCGGGCGTGGCGCTGGCAACCCACCCCCTCATGTATCGTTCCGGCCTTTATAGGTGCTCGCGAACAGCACTTGCCCCAAAAAGTCTGTTTTGGCTATACAGGGGATCTTTGTCTTTGGAGCGGTAGTGGAGCGGTTAGTGTGCTGCGCTACCCTGGCAACCCGAGTTCGAGTCCAGCTCACACCCACCAACACCAGTGGCGATGATCTGAACCTATCCTGGGCCTCCCCTAGGTCGACTAAGTCTCAAATGCGTAGTTGGTGTGATGTTTAAACTCAGCCACTAAGGAGTCAAAGGCGGCTTCAATAGGTGCTCGCTAAGAGCCCTCGCCTCAACAACTTGTGGAGGATCTGCCTTGTGTTTGTTGTGGGAGTGGCGGTGCAGCGGGTAGCCGACCGAGTTGCGTTCGATTCCCATCCACGCCGCTGTTCTAAATTCAAAGTGCAACGACTGCAGACCCTCGTCCGAGATCAGCAGCCATTTTCGGAGACGAATGACGTCATGATGATGTCGTGCTGCAGTGCAATGGTGCAATACCCACGTCATGTTTACTTCCTTAGCAGCCGCTTGGTATAATCTTGATTTGAAGCTTTCGTGACTGCAGGAATCCATACTCTTTGGTTCTTTCGGTAAAGTCACAACCACCTGATGACGATTGCTTGTGTTGCGATCGAAAAGTCGTGATCAATTATTCGTTCTACCTACGTGACTTTACGGGAAGAACCAAAGAGTATGAGAATTGCATATGTTTTTAACATTTCTGACCGGCATATAAATAGTTGCCGAATAGCAGTAACAACTCATGTTGCAACAGGGAGGAAACTATTCGCTGATGCAGATTCAATAAGCTAGGTCTTAGCGAGCATTGGTTGAGCGAGTTTCCTCGCTTGCCCCTTGCTCCTCCCGCCCCCTTTCTTACCCATATAAACCTCGTGCCACGGCAGCTCTCTCGCCCACTTCAGCATTTTTCCTTGCTGTGGTGTTCCCACCTGATGACGATTGCTTGCGTTGCGATCGAAACGTCGTGATTTGTTTAATTGTATTTTATATCATTTCTACTTGCGTGACTTTACCGAAAGAACCAAAGAGTAGCCGCTTGGTATGTCGTGAACGCGCTTGCTGTGACCCAACCTCCTCCCCCCCCCCCCCGCCACGCGTGCGCCCCCAGGCCCGGCCGGGACGTGGTGGTGCAGGACCTGCAGCTGCTGAGCAAGGTGCAGGTGTCGCTGGAGAGCTGCCCCGACGAGCAGCGGCCGCCCGCGGCGCTAACGCTGGCCGCGGCGCCCCCCTCGTCGTCCCGGAGCAGCGCCCAGCGACAGCGCGCGGCCAGACTCCGCGTACGGGCAGCGCCGCGGGGACCCGTGGCCGTCGCACTCGCCCGTCGCACATAGTCGTCGTCGCCAACATCGCCGTCAACATCATTGTCCTCGTCGCCGTCAATATCATCTACAGCATCGTCTGGAATTTCCACAACTGTTTCGGATCCGTCCACAGAAATTATCCACCTCCCACCATTGCTCACTTGAGCAGATTCACACTTGGGCCGGATTTACGCTGGTAATTCAGTACGGCAATGCAATACAAATCTTAATTCATATCGCGAATAAATGGGACTGCATCTCAGGATGCGCAACTGAAATAGTCGCGTTCATTTTCTTGAAGCGGTCAGTCAAATGTCTCTTTGTGAGTCTATGGGTCTCTGAACATGGGGGTCTCAAACAAATCTAACCCTTTGTCTGGTCGGTGGTGATCATGTGACTGGTGGTGACCGTGGCTGGTTGTGACGGTGACCGATGGTGACCATGTGACCGATGGTGACCACGTGACTGGTGGTGACCATGTGACCGGTGGTGACCGTGGCCGGTTGTGGCGGTGACCATGTGACCGATGGTGACCATGTGACTGGTGGTGACCGCGTGCCCAGGGTTCGTCAGCGCGGCACCTGAGGCCCGTGCAGGACGGCGTGCCGGCGTGGCCCAGCGAGGGCGGCTGTGCGGGGCCGCGGGGCGGCCCCGGCGTGGGCACCGACGATGACGCGGGGCTGCTCTTTGGGGACGGCAAGGAGAGCCGCGCCGAGTTCGCGCTCCCCACGCGCACGCTCGCCAAATTGTAAGTCGCTCGCGACGCTGGGGCGGGGACGCGCAGGGGGCGTGCGAGGTGGGGCGGGGGCCAACGGTGCCGGAGCCACGCACGACCGCCTCTCGTGGGGGAAACGCACGCACGGCGCGATCCACCGCAGCTGACGAAGTGTGGAAATGTACGTACGTGTGTCGAACTTCCTTGGCACCGTACGTAGCCAACCGTGATTCTCGGAGGTGCAGGGAAAAAGGCCAACAAACTAAACACAACAAGCGGTTCTAAAGGAATGAGTTTTAGATCTACGTGGGTGATTGTGTGTATGTGGGAGTTTGTGTACGTGGGAGTGTGTGTGTGTAAACGGGTCGCTTCTGAAAAAGAGCTGTATAGCTCAGTAGGCCTCACCTGGTCAAATAAAAAATAGTTTAGTCTTAGTGTGCGAGCAACGTTGGCAGTGCCCTCTCTGCGCCGCTCCCAGGCACCTCTCGCTGGAGCTGAAGACCGACGCCAGCAACGGGCTGCTCGCGTACGTGTCCGGCGGCGGGGACGACGACGGGCAGCACCTGGCCGTGCACCTGGCCCACGGGCACCTCCACTTAACCGCCGGCAACACCAGGCAACGGGGCCAAAGGCTCAAGCTGAAGAGCCCCGAGAAGGTCAACGACGGCCAGTGGCACTCGGTGCGTGGCCGTGATGGGTCCGCGATGGGTCTCACGATGGGTCCGCGATGAGTTTGTGCGGCCTTGGCCGTGCTCGTCGACTTGCTCGGGGAGGCGCAGCCCCTGTCCCAGCAGCCGCTGATGGCGAATGCAGTCTGTTGTTATTTGCAGATGTTACGCATCGGAGCTCATTACTTACAACAGTCGAAACATCTCCCTTCTATCCGTATAGACAGAGCAAACAGCGTAGTGGGGGAGCCCTGTGGGCCTCGATGCTCATAGTGATCTGGACATCACTTTAGACGTGACATCGTGATGCGCCCCGGTTGCGTTTGCACCCCAGAGGTGGCAACCCCCCGGCGTGACGTTGCCCGCCGGTCCGCCGCTCCGTGTCGCGCAGGTGGAGGTGGTGGTGGGCCCCGAGGCTCACGGGGAGCTGATCGTGGACGGCTCGGCGGCGAAGGCCGCCCCTGCACGCCGCAAGGGCCCGGAGCTCGTCCTGCGCTCCCCGCTCTACCTGGGCGGCGTCGCGAGCGGCACGGGCCGGCGAGACCTGCAGGTAGAGAGCCGCGTCTGGGCGTTTCGCCCGATTCGAGGGTTGCGATTTGTGCCGTCGGCATCGCTCCGTGAGACGGTGCCGGCGCCGCCCATCCGCCTTGCGCTCCGGGGCTGTGTCGCCTGAGAGTTGTAAAGCGTAAATCTTATCTGATAACGTTCCCGGTACGAGACGGGTTACATTGGTGACCAATCAAACGATAGGATTACAGTGGTACCTCGGTATACGTCGTGAATTCGTTCCAGAAGGTAGGAGGACTCATACCGGAAGTGACGTGTACCAAACGAATTGTTCCCATAAGATATAAAGGGAAAGGAAATAATCCGTTCCAGAGTATAAGAAATTATATTTTATATGGCATAGTATACATTAATGGGGTTGTATTAAATAATTTAGACACTACTTATGACTAAAATGCATACATAAATAAAAATAAATGCATAAATAAATTAAAGTAAATTTAAATAAAAATAAAATTTAACTTCACTTTACCTTGCTGAGTGGAGTTGATAGCCTACGAGGATGGTGGTGAGGAAGGGGAGGAGGAGGAGGAGATGTTTTGTTTTTGGAAGGAGAGTCCCTTTCCATTAAAACTTCAGGAAGCTGAAATAATACTTTTCTATGATCTTTTTTTCACGTCAACAGTGATCCTCACCATTTCCTTTGTAGCTTGGCTTTCCTCACCAACTTTCTCAGGACCCATCTTGAATGAATTCGCAAAAAATTCACCTTCAAATGACAAAAAACACGTGAAGATTCACAGAGAGTTCTAGCAAGGGTCGTGCACTGAACGAGATCTACAGGCAGACTGAGGAGCGGCGCTTTGTCCAAGTCGTGAACGGGGTAGACGCGGGGACACGGTGACTCGTCCCGACCCATACAAGTTGTAGCAAGTGCGTCATATCCCAAGCGAGACGTCGTACCCCAAGCAAGACGTCATATCACAAGCAAGACGTCGTATCACAAGCAAGACGTCGTATCACAAGACATTCTTTTCTCGTCAAAACACGACGTGTACCAAATTCGACGTTTTCCAAAGCGGTCGTATACCGAGGTATGACTGTATTTACAAACCATGCCTGCTCATCTTGTTGGCCCGCCCCTACTGGACATCTATGAAAAAGAGCCTCATAACTCATCACATTCCTCCTGCAGTCTAAATAAAGATTCTGCGTCTGATCTACAAGGGTCTGTACCAATCTGCTCCGTCCTATCTTGCTGCACAGCGCCGGCCTCAACAGGACCCCAAATCGACGCCGTCAATGATCCGCATCCCACGGTTACCCTGCTGCTCTGCTGCTACTGCTCCTGCTGCTGCTGCTCTTGCTGCTGCTGCTACTCCTTCTGCTGCTACTCCTGCTGCTCCTGCTGCTGCTCTTGCTGCTGCTGCTACTCCTGCTGCTGCTACTCCTGCTGCTCCTGCTGCTGCTGCTACTCCTGCTGCTACTCCTGCTGCTGCTACTCCTGCTGCTCCTGCTGCTGCTCTTGCTGCTGCTGCTAATCCTGCTGCTGCTGCTACTCCTGCTGCTGCTGCTCCTGCTGCTGCTCCTGTTCCTGCTGCTACTCCTGCTGCTACTCCTGCTGCTTCTGCTGCTACTGCAGCTACTCCTGCTGCTGCTTCTGCTGCTGCTGCTCCTGCTGCTGCTACTCCTGCTGCTGCTACTCCTGCTGCTGCTGCTGCTCCTGTTCCTGCTGCTGCTCCAGCTACTCCTGCTGCTGCTACTCCTGCTGCTGCTGCTCCTGCTGCTGCTCCAGCTACTCCTGCTGCTCCAGCTACTCCTGCTGCTCCAGCTGCTCCAACTACTCCTGCTGCTGCTGCTCCAGCTACTCCTGCTGCTGCTCCCGCCCGCCAGCGATGTGCGGCGATGTGGCCAGCGCAGTTTCACCGGGGGTCTCCAAACCCGAGGAGCTGGAGGCGGTCGCCTGTGGGAGACGTTCCTCACCCATGCTTGAGTCTCAGCCATTTTTGCTCGACACCTAAAGCGACGTTGCTATTCCAAAGAGCTACCTCTGTGTGAGCGTCGCGCATTCCTGATGGAACGGACTCGTGACAGCGCGCGATCGCGAGCGTTCACGCTCGTTGACAGACTTATTGGTGTCTCTCGCAAAGCAGTGCGTTGCCTCGTGCTAGAGAATAGTCCACGGAAGCGGATGACGCTGAACTAGTTCTGAAATCCTTTAGTCCAAAGAATAAGGGGCAGCACTTTTCCACCCGCCCTTCCTCGTGAGAATTATATTCACTTCCAGAAGACCATGTTACATCGAGGAACAAAAATACGTGAAGGATGAATTGCCTTATTATTTATCTTTGTTATGTTCTCTGCAATGGCGCGCAAAGTTATTTTGTGTTATGAACAGTAAAGAGAGAGAGAGATCACATGTTCAGGCGTCCCGTCAGTGCTTAGCGGCCAAGTCAATGCCGGCGTTTGGTGTGGTTCGTAGCTCTGTTTTGCGCTCGTGATTAATTCGTTTCCTGTCGTGCATCAGCGCGCTCCGTGTCCGTCAGGCGCTCGATCCGTGTCGTGCACCGGCGAGCGCTGGTCACCGCTACGTGGCGCTGACGGTAGCCACGCGGGCCGAGGAGGAGGGGGAGGAGGAGGGGGAGGAGGAGGAGGGGGAGGAGCCCCGTTCTAACGGGAGGCGTCGCGTGCCCCGGGTGTGACGTCACCGCCCCTCACCCCCCACCCCAGGGCCGCAGGAGGGCCGGGCTGCGTGGCTGCGTGCGCGGGGCCCGGCTCAACGGAGCGTCCCTGGGGGAGCCAGCACGCCGCTTCGCCGTGACGCCCTGCACCTCCGCGCCCACGACGCCCGGCGTGTTCTTCTCGCACGAAGGAGGCCACGTGCTGCTGGGTGAGAGAGCCGTGCCGGCATTGTCGTACCCCCCCTCCCCCGCTCCCTCGCGCCCAGCCAAACATCAAATAATCTTGATTTAAAGCTTTCGTGACTGCAGTAATTCATATTCTTAGTTTTTTCGGTAAAGTCACGTTGAAGAGAAACAACAAAATAATTAAATATATATAAAACAATAAAAAAAATTCTCACGACGTTTCGACCATAACTCAAACGGTCATCTTCAGGTGTGTTGGTTTGCATAAATTTATTAAAAATAAATTTATGCAAACGATATATATTTTATTATTATTATATTATTTTTATTTTATTATTTTGTTGTTTCTCTTCAACGTGACTTTACCGAAAAAACTAAGAATATCAAATAATCTGTTTAAACGCACGTTTCTAAATGTGGAGGGAACAACTGTCCTTGCCCCGCACAGTCCGATTATCGCAGTTGGCTACGTACGGAGCAAAAGAAGTTCAACGACGCGACGCAGCACAGCGAACCCCACGCGGGTGTCGTCATGCTGTCGCCTTGCCGCGTCACGACATGCAGCGGGAATGTGTGGCTCTGGCCCCACTGCCTCCTTGTGTGCTGTGACAACGTTTATAGACGCTCAATAACAGCGCTCGCCCCAACAGTTGTTGGTATCACTGCACTTTTTTGGCCACCCATCGAACAAAGACGGTCACCGCATCGCGCGCGTTCAGATGCGCTTCTGCGGCCGTCTGGAACGCTCTTCCTTCCCATATTAGGAAGCAACTGGAGCTATGCAGTTTTAAATCATCTAGATTGACGAACTAATTTCTTTAGAACTACTTTTTTGTGTTTAGCTTGTTGTCCTTCCCCTGCACGATTGGCTACGTACGATCGCGAAAGAAGTTCAACATCACACACACACTCCCTGTGGCGCTGCAGACGAGGCCGTGGAGGTGACTTCGAAGCTGGATCTGGCGCTGGAGGTCCGGCCGCACCACCCCTCGGGGCAGCTGCTGCACCTGGGTCGCCCGGGCGCCGCGCGATACCTCGCCCTCTACCTTCACGGTGGCCAGGTGATCTCCCGTGGTGCACGGACTCCAGCAGAGACGCGGCACGGAAACGGCCGCTGTCACATTCCGGCGATTGATACTTGCCCCACCGTCCCAGCCTGTGTGTTGTAGCCCTGTGCCAATCTGCTGTTGGAAGAAGGCCTTCCCATGCCGGGGGTGCCACGGTGGCGAGATGTTAACTTCCTCGCCTGGTATACAGGAGGTCGTGGGTTCCATCCCGACCCTGACGCCTGCTGCTGTATATTTGGAGTTTGCGTGTCTCTCTCTCATCATCATCACTGTGGCCAGGAGATGTTAACTACCTCGCCTGGTATACAGGAGGACGTGGGTTCAATCCCGACCCTGACGCCTGCTGCTGTATATTTGGAGTTTGCGTGTCTCTCTCTCATCATCATCACGGTGGCTAGGAGATGTTAACTACCTCGCCTGGTATACAGGAGGTCGTGGGTTCCATCCCGAACCCTGATGCCTGCTGTATATTTGTTGTTTGGATGTTCTCTCTCTCCCCGTGGTCACGTGGATTTTTCCCCTCCACATTGTTATTCAACGTGCATTTAGAGTATTTTAGCTGCTATATATTTCCACGTGATAAGCCGCTTCGTTGAGCTATCATTTGGGGCCAGATCGTTTCTGAAAATAGCTTTATAGCTCAGTGGGCCTTACCTGGTAAAATAAAAAAGTTTCTAGTTTAGTTTTTTAGTCGTGTGGGTTGTTTGACCATACTTCACCATCCTAGTCATTGTAGGTTGTTGAAGCGGTGAAGCCCAGGACTCTTTTAGGTATCACTCACCACCGGTGTTAGCCGTGGTCGCCCGGTTAAAGGCGCGGCACGCTAACCACTGCACCACCACTCCACCTCTGTTGTATACCAGTGACGTACGCCTTTTGATTATCCACAAAAACCTCAGGGGAGGCTCCTGCATTGGGATGTTTGGCCAGTACCCATTATGAGCTTTGCTTCATGTTGGAAGAAACTGGAGCATCTGGACAAACCCCATGCGTATGAAGGGCTCCAATTGACTCGCTCCACTGCCACCTCCTGGCTCCCCTTGCGGCCCAGTGAGTTGGGGAGTTTCACAATTTTGTTGGAGCCACCAACCCTTCTCCCCCCCAACCCCCTCCTCCTCCTAGATCGTAGGCGTGTGACAAAACACCTCGCGTATGACTCGACTGTGCTGTCTAATTTGCTTGGAGTAACAGATGAGTTGTTGAAGAATGTATACCGACGTGAGATCGCACCTCCGATTAGCACGGTTGGCTACGTATGGTTTAAAAGAAGTTCATCATACATACAGTGAGGGAAAAAAAGTATTTGATCCCCTACTGATTTTGTACGTTTGCCCACTGACAAAGAAATGATCAGTCTAAAATTTTAATGGTAGGTTTATTTGAACAGTGAGAGACAGAATAACAACATCAAAAATCCAGAAAAACGCATGTCAAAAATGTTATAAATTGATTTGCATTTTAATGAGGGAAATAAGTTTTTGACCCCCTCTCAATCAGAAAAATTTCTGGCTCCCAGGTGTCTTTTATACATGTATAAAAGACATGTATAAAAGACACCTGTCCACAGAAGCAATCAATCAGATTCCAAACTCTCCACCATGGCCAAGACCAAAGAGCTCTCCAAGGATGTCAGGGACAAGATTGTAGACCTACACAAGGCTGGAATGGGCTACAAGACCATTGCCAAGCAGCTTGGTGAGAAGGTGACAACAGTTGGTGCGATTATTTGCAAATGGAAGAAACACAAAAGAACTGTCAATCTCCCCCGGCCTGCGGCTCTGTGCAAGATGTCACCTCGTGGAGTTTCAATGATCATGAGAACGGTGAGGAATCAGCCCAGAACTACACGGGAGGATCTTGTCAATGATCTCAAGGCAGCTGGGACCATAGTCACCAAGAAAACAATTGGTAAACACTATGCCATGAAGGACTGAAATCCTGCAGCGCCCGCAAGGTCCCCCTGCTCAAGAAAGCACATATACATGCCCGTCTGAAGTTTGCCAATGAACATCTGAATGAATCAGAGGACAACGGGGTGAAAGTGTTGTAGTTAGATGAGACCAAAATGGAGCTCTTTGGCATCAACTCAACTCGCCGTGTTCGGAGGAGGAATGCTGCCTATGACCCCAAGAACACCATCCCCACTGTCAAACATGGAGGTGGAAACATTATGCTTTGGGGGTGTTTTTTCTGCTAAGGGGACAGGACAACTTCACCGCATCATAGGGACGATGGACGGGGCCATGTACCGTCAAATCTTGGGTGAGAACCTCCTTCCCTCAGCCAGGGTATTGAAAATGGGTCGTGGATGGGTATTCCAGCATGACAATGACCCAAAACACACGGCCAAGGCAACAAAGGAGTGGCTCAAGAAGAAGCACATTAAGGTCCTGGAGTGGCCTAGCCAGTCTCCAGACCTTAATCCCATAGAAAATCTGTGGAGGGAGCTGAAGGTTCGAGTTGCCAAACGTCAGCCTCGAAACCTTAATGACTTGGAGAAGATCTGCAAAGAGGAGTGGGACAAAATCCCTCCTGAGATGTGTGCAAACCTGGTGGCCAACTACAAGAAACGTCTGACCTCTGTGATTGCCAATAAGGGTTTTGCCACCAAGTACTAAGTCACGTTTTGCAGAGGGGTCAAATATTTATTTCCCTCATTAAAATGCAAATCAATTATAAAAAAATTTGACATGCGTTTTTCTCGATTTTGTTGTTGTTATTCTGTCTCTCACTGTTCAAATAAACCTACCATTAAAATTATAGACTGATCATTTCTTTGTCAGTGGGCAAACGTACAAAATCAGCAGGGTATCAAATACTTTTTTTCCTCACTGTATATACATGTAGGTTTGCCACAAAACATGCGCATGTGCGATGGTGGTACCTTGCACGACGATCCCAACAACGTGGGTTTGATTCTCGGCCATGGAGTATACTCTCAGTGTGAGGCATTACCACCAGCCTGACCTTGGGTTCTTAATGTAGACATAGCGATATGTGAATGCCACCACTGGAGAGATGAACCAGCAGTACGTGGGTTCCGGCCACACCATCACAGTCCGTGCCGTGGCCGGCTCTAGCTTGATGCCGTGGGGAGCGGTGGTTGTAGCAATTAGCGCACTGCGGTACGAATCCAGCGACCCAAGTTCGATTCCTGCTCTCGGCCAAAACCAGTGACGATCACCTGAACCGGTCCTGGGCCTCCTCCCCTAGGTCGACTCAGCCTCAAATGAATACCTGGTGCGGTGTATAGACATCGACCACTGTGGAAACAAAGGCGGTCGGGCGTGGTGCTGGCCACCCACCCCCTCGTGTGCCGTGCCGGCCTTCATAGGTGCTCGCTAACAGCACTTGCCCCAACAGGCTGTTACAGGCTACACGGGGGGATCTTTGTCTTTTGTGCTTGCGTGTCGCTTGCAGGTGACCGTGCTGGCTAACGATGGCGTGGAGGAGTTCTCCGCCACGGTCTCCCCCACGCGCTCGCTGTGCGACGGCCAGTGGCATCGCATCGCAGGTGAGGCGCAGTCGCCATCCACTGCGACAGCTTCCCCTCTGGTGCCCGGCTCCAGCGTGCACCTTCAAGGCAGTCGATTTCATTGGAATGGAAGCTGGCCCAGGCTGCTTAGAGCAGTAGTGCCATGCCATCCTTTCCAAAATCCCATACCTTGTATTGTTCGTGGAGCAGTTACACAGTGGTCAGCGCACCGCACTATGAACCTGGCGGCCTGAGTTTAATTCCATGCCACGGCCAAATATCCGTGGCGAGTGACCTCTGAACCGATTCCAGGCCACCTGCCACAGCCCCCTTCATTTATCAACCCACACTTGACCAGCGTGGTGAAGTATGGTCAAACAACCCCCATGACTCACACGGTGTGGGAGTGGATCGACAGAGGGGCTGTACATTCTTAATTGTGGTGTGCATTATTAGCAGCGGTTGAACTCTGGAGAGAGTTTTCACTTCCATAGGAATGTGGAATGTCGGCATTTGAGAACAGCGCCCCCCCCCCCCCCCCCATGACTTTGTAGGACCGTGTTGACGACACCACGATGAACACGCATTGCAGCTTCGAAATGATCACTCAAAGGAGATTAGAATTGTAAAAATAGCAGCCGTGTTTAAGGTTAATTAACTTTCCGACCCGCCCCTACTGGATATCTTTGAAAAAGAGCTTTATAGCTCATCGGATTCCTCCGCAAATAAAGATTCTGATTCTGATCATTTAGATTTAAAAAACATTTTTAATCAAGAGTCCATTGCTGTGGGAGATTGGTTGGGGAGTTCCGCCTGTTAATAATGTCTGCGTCAGAGTGATGAACCACTGCCGCTCAGTGCCCGAGTTGGAGTCTTAAGTTTCGGCCGCTTGTGATTAAACCAGGTCCTCAAGTGTGGCGAGTTGTACGTATGTATGTTTAACTCCTTTCACACCGTACGTAGCTAACCGTGCTAATCGGAGTTGATGGTCTCAATCTGGTCACCAATGACTGCACAAGAACTGCTCATGATGTCACCTTACTATTTTCTCCCGTCCATTTGACATTGCCCATCTATGTAAGCTAAAGTATATCAGACGACTGAAAACACGCATTGCATAGTAAGGGAGCGCCATCTAGTGTGGGCTAAGGGATGTGGATTAAGAAGAAATAGTTCTGTGGTGCCACGATATCTGTAACCTGCCTTGGGCCAGCCGTAGATAGACTCAGCCTAAAATGAGTACCTGTTGCACTGGGAAAACAAAGGTGGTTGGATGTAATGCGACAGACAGCCCAGTGTGCCACGGTGGCCTTACTGCAAGTTCGCTAACAGCGCTCGTCCCTTCTACATGGTGCAAGAGTAAAAGAGGAGTCTTTGGGGGGCGGTGGTGTAGCGGTGGTGTAGCGGTAGTGTAGCGGCGGTGTAGCGGCGATGTAGCGGCGGTGTAGCGGCGGTGTAGCGGTAGTAGAGCGGTGATGTAGCGGTGGTGTAGCGGTGGTGTAGCAGTAGTGTGGCGGTGGTGTGGCGGTAGTGTAGCGGTGGTGTAGCGGTAGTGTAGCGGTGGTGTAGCAGTAGTGTAGCAGTAGTGTATCGGTGGTGTAGCAGTAGTGTATCGGTGGTGTAGCGGTGGTGTAGCAGTAGTGTAGCGGTGGTGTAGCGGTAGTGTAGCGGTGGTGTAGCGCTTAGCGCTACGCTGCGCTACGAACCCAGCGACCCGAGTTCGATTCCCGCTCACGGCCACCACCGGTGACGATTATCTGGACCGGTCCCGGGCCTCCCCTAGGTCGACTCAGCCTCTAATTAGTACCTGGTGCGATGTGTAAACATCGCAACGAGGCAGACAAAGGCGGCCGGGCGTAGTGCTGGCCACCGACCGCCTCGTGTGCCAAGCCGGCCTTCATAGGTGCTCGCCAACAGCACTTGCCCCTACAGTCTGTTAAGGCTATATGGGGGAATCCTTTGTTTTTTTTTGTTTGTAGTGATCAAGACCAGGAGCGTGCTTCACTTGGACGTGGATGGGGACGTGAGTAGCGTCAAGGGCCCGGCACTCGGGCTGCTCACGCAAGCGCAGCAGGAGCTGCACATCGGAGGGCTGCCCCGTGAGTTTCTCGCCACCGCACCACCACCACAGTCACCGCCACCGCCACCACCGTCACCACCACCACCACCGCCACCGCCTCGCGTCACACGTGAAGCGCGTTGTCAATTGTAGCTGGAACTTCGCTAAAACTCGGTGGACATTTTTCTTCAAAGCATCATCAACAATGGGCAAAAGTCAATGCATGACTTGGGTATCATCAGCAGGCTCTGCGTGTGCTGAGTGCGGTATCCCGGTGAGTGCTGGTTGTGCTGTGCGCTTCGTGCCGTGTGTTCTGTGTATTCTGTGACACGTGTTGTGTTCTCTGCATCGCGTAACTCGTGTCCACGTGTTCCGCGCCGTGTGTTTCTGTGCCACGTGTTCTGTACCTTGTGCAGTGCCGGATTATCCTAGTAACAAAAGTAGCAACAAATGCTACGGGCCCACGCACTTTCAAGGGCCCCGCGCTGAACGCTTTCAAGCTATCAATTCCGGTTCGGTGATTCTGCACTCGCTCTATCTATTACTATAGTACTATACCGCCTTCGACTTTTACGAACGACTGGGTGTTTAAGATTAGCGATTTGTCGTATTATCTGGCTGTATAGCAAATGAAAAAATACAATTACTTTGCTATGCAAGTTAAAAATGTTGTGTTTTTATATTTATGTGTTTTTTTTATTATTAGGGCCCCTTTACAACATTTGATACAGGCCCCGCACTAGCTTAATCCGTCACAGACCTTGTGCGATTTGCCATGTTTACCATGCCACGATCGTCGTGCTCTATATTCTAAGCTGTGTGCCGGCATCGGCGTGTGCCATTTCGCCGTTCCCAGTTCCCGCCCTCCCCTATCTGACCATCGCGCTCCCGTCCGTGCGTGTCCGTGCGTGTCCGTATGCGTCCGCGTGTCCGCACGTCTGCGTTCTCTCTCAAGCCGGCCTGCCGGGCCCCTGGCCGGACAACATCCCCCGGCTCTCGGCCTGCCTGCGGGGCCTCGCGCTCAACGGCAAGGCCCGCAACTTCGCCAAGGCGGCCTCCGTGCAGGGGGCGGTGCGTGTGCACGGCTGCCCGGAAGTCTAACGCCACCGCCACCCTCCAGACCGCCCTGCGTCTACACAGCCCGGCGTCTACAGACTGCCCGTTGTTTGCAAGCCTCACGTCTCTGTGGCTTTTGGCCATTTCAAAAAAAAATAATAAACACCTGAAGTGATTTTTTTTTATTTGTTCATTTAGCTTTTCCACGCACAGCCTTTTCTCAATCCACTGCTGGATGAGGGCCTCCCCGTTCTGTGCGGGTTGCGGGGGTTATTTTATCGTACAGTACGTCGCGTATCCAACTGTCGTATATCCGCCCTGTCTAGTTAACCACCCAGACCCAGCGCAGTAATTGTGCGTGATGGTGTGACCGTCTTTTTCTATCGATGTTCACACCTCCGACCGTTTCATAGATCTGCCCATAACCTCGGTTGCCCAGCGGGTCGGATACGCGACGTTGCACCGCTTTGCACCGTGCTAGTCAGTGCGGGTTGGAAGACAGGGAGCGTAGGTGTCGTGGGAGCGTATTACTGAAATACAGCAATGGATTTTTCAGCACAACTCTCTGCTCCCAACCACTTTTAAGCCCCCCCCCCCTTAATTATGCCGCTTTAAGAAGCAGTCCAAATCAAAGTTTCTACCTGCCTAGTCGAGCATGGGGAGGGAAGAGCTCATCTCTGAGTGGCTGAGAGCCAGTGGTTAAAACGTAACATGCCTGTACTGGGGCCGGTATTTCCATAAGACACTCGCTTCACGGTTCAGACAATTTGGTAGTCATTTTCGTGGCCCCGGGTCGCATGGCGAGTTGGCTCACCCCTCGGGGGGAAGTGGTCACGAACCGGTTTAGAGCACCGCGCTATGAGTCCGGCGAGCCGAGTTCGATTCCCGCTCATGGTCAGTTAACAGTGGTGAATATTTGAAACGGTCCTGGGGTTTCTCTCCCCGAGGTTGACTCAGCCTTAAAATAGTACCTTGGTTGGTGTGTAAACGCCAGTGCTGGGGGAGACAAAGGCGGTCTGGGGCGTGGTGTTGGTCACCTTCTCACTCCCTTTTGAGCCATGCCGGGCCTTCTTGGAAGCTCTCTAACAGCACTTTGCCCCAGCAGTCCGTCCGAGGCTGTGGAGGTCAACACGGCACACCAGGGGGAGATGTGGACAGGAACACGCCCGTCCACCTTTTGTAAATGACACACTGCACCAGGTACTCGTAAAGAAACTTTTACTTTATCAGCCAAAGCCCACTGAGCTCTTAGCTCTTATTCAGAGGCGACCTTGGCCACATGTGATATCTGATCGCAGTGGCTGATATCATCACACCCGGGAGTTTATGGCAGCAGCCAAAATAATATAAGCGCGTGTTTGTGAATGTGGAAGGCAACAACCAGGGGTCCCAGAGAAAAAATCCAGTGGGGAAAGAGATCATGCAAACTACAAACGTACAACAGGCTTCGTCAAGGTCGGGATAAAACCAAACGACCTCTTGCATTCGAGGCGAGGGAGATAATACCCTGGTCACCGAAGTGCACCGTTTAAGGATGAGTCAACTTAGCGGAGGTTGAGATATCTGTCATTGATGTTGGTGGTGAACGAGAATCGAACCTGGGACGCCAAGTTAATAGGGCAATGCGGCAACCAACTACGCTACCGCTCGCCCCACAATATCCATGCATAGTGTGGACATTATGTTCTGTGGTTTTCAAAGCTAAAGTTTTTCTCACGTAACGTCCCTGGCTCCCCAGGGCTATGGATGGATCCAAAGCTTAGACTGACATTGGGCGAAGTTGGACGCTGTGGTGTTGTAGGAAAGAGGGGAGAGGTTCTGCTTGGTAAACACCCCCCCCCCTCCCCAGCCGTGTAATGGCGTAAGTGGTATATCCCAGATTAAATTGGCGCCACTAAGCCGCAAACTCAAGAGGATTGTGTTGGGAGAGTGAGAATACACCGTGCAGGACATCTCTGAGTTAAAAAGCCTGCATTGCGGGTTTATATATATACATTCAGCAAATGAACCTTATGGCGGGACCCCGGGGTCCCATAAGCCCCCGGCTCTCGCATAAACTGCGTTGTGACGTCATTTATGTCTGTTGAAGGCGAACGACACGGCGATCTATTCCTCTCGACGAGCTCTGCACGACGCGCTAATAATCAAAGTTTCAAAGTTTCCTTTCTTCTGCGCATTCGTCCTCGCTGCTGCGCTAGGACGACACGACAACGGAATGATCCGCGCCGGGTGGGTCGCGGCGTTTACGTGCGCGGTGGGACGGAGTCGCCAATTATGTCGTGGAGTAAATTGGCCACAATAAAAAGGGCAACAATGAAACTAAGAGCTTCGGCTAATTCTTGTAAAACCACTTCGAGCGTAAATATACATTGTTGATTTTGTACTTGTCCGTGCCTTAGGAATGTGGAATTCCCACCTCTGGCTCTGAACTGCTAGAGGAAATGAGGACTGCCAAATGGTCGCTTGAGAATGGAAACAGAATTTGAGAGGCACGTCTTGGTATTGTTCAGTTACTAAACAATTTTTATTTTATTTTACCAAGCAAGGCCCACTGAGCTATGTAGCCCTTTTTCAGAAGCGACCTGGCCACAAATGATAGCTCAGCAAAGTGGCTCATCATCTGGTAATGTATTGCAGCCAAACTCTCTAAAACGCATGTTTCTAAATGTGGAGGGCAAAACCAGAGGACCCGGAGAAAAAGCCACGCCATCACGGGTAGGGGAGAACATGCGAACCCCAACTATTACAGGTGTCAGGATCGAACCAACGACCTCCTGCGTACCAGGTGAAGTAGTTAACATCTCGCTACCACGGCGCCCCAGTTACTGCAGTGTACTCTCCCATCAAAATCCGATGTTGCATTTGTCACTGGTGTCCTTAGTCAATGCGTGTCTCGCTGCTCAAGCTTTGGGCGGCGATCATTTTGATTGGTGATTCCAGGCAAGCGGTTACAATCCCACGTTCCAATGGCAGGGACGAGTCTACCCACAGGGAAGTCGCTGTTGACTTACCACAAAGTGGTACTGTCCCCATTGGAGTAACCCTAGCGGGGTGATTGGGGTCGAGTGAACGTTCTCCAGACTCGAATTTGACCATCCGATTGCGAGTTGGGTGCTCTGCGAGAGTGCTGCCTGTCTGGACAGTGGTGACATTGCAAGTGGAGATCCCCCACCTTAATAACATCAGCCCATTTAAATATTCACGGAGGTATTTCAGTGCTGTGCTCTGGTTTCATTATTCCGCATCCTGTATGGTTACCATCATACTTGTGTGTTCAGTCACCGTATTTGTCCGGTTTCCGCGTAAACGTCCCGCCCATGTCCACGTTACACCTCCCCCCCCCCCCCCCCCCCCTTGTGAGAGTGGGTCTGGTCTTGCATTGCCATTATCTCAAGACTTACGTCCTTGTCGTTTTGAGCTAGCCAAGTGTTCGTCCTGGCTGTCAATGTCCCGTTTCTTCAGGGTTCCTTTCTTTGAAGAGATTCCCAGTGAACGTGCAACGTTGGCTCCAACCATGCAATGAGTTCCCTCCACTTCTTCCTGTCCTTGACAACATGTTGAGCCTCGCCCCTAAGAGAGGTCGATCGCTACTGCCAGCTCGTCCTTCGCAGGTCTTACCGCCAGGCGGCCTCGGGTCTCCCGGGTTGTCTTTAGCCCGGTGATGGCCATCTTAGGGGCAATCTTTGGAGAACGGTCCTGGTCAATTCTTGAGTGCATGGCCTGGCCATCTGAGTCGCCGTCCCATGATGTATCGTGTGATAACGGGAGAACTGGGTCAACTTGTACAGTTCCGTGTTGTGGATTTAGTTCGGCCAGAAGATGCGGTGCAGTTTTGCCGAGTCAACGTCCCTAAAGTCATCTAAATCAAAGCCGATCGAGCGGTATGATTTATTCCCGCGTAGATTGAAGTTATCACCTTCCCTTTAGTGTTGCACTTTGTTATCTGTTCACAATTGCGCTTGGGGTGATTAACTATTCATTGGGCCTAATCTATTATTAACTGACCGAGAGAAGATAAAACGCTCTTGGTCATTTTAGTTTAATACATTTTCACTGGAACTTAATTACACCTCAAAACAAAGGCACGATTTGCAGTGATTTTTAGTCAACACGATTTGGACAAAGCACTGTACGGAATTTTTTTTTTAAGCCGAGAACATTTATTCCGCAACTAGGTCGCTGTTCGAATTGGACTCAAAAACCGTTTACAGCTCTGCGCGTACGCTTGGCCAATGTGCAGCAATCAGAAAATATAATCTACCAAAACATGCATGCAAGCATTTGGCCTAATACACCCCACCCTGTAACCCATGAGTTAATCTTAATGTGATGTTAACCAATGCAACATTTATGCAATAATGTTGTCTGTTAAAACGTTGATTTTCATAATCCTCTGATTAACGCTGACAATTGGGGAATATGGAGTAGTTGCATTTGGGTTTGCAATGTTATCGGCATCGTTCAAATCCACAAATTATTCACTTTGCACAGTTTTAATAATATTGTCCATGGAAATTCCACCGCAGTGCAAAAAAATGATGTCCATTTAATTTTACCTAACCGATGCCTCTTTAGCAGGTGGGAAATATACATCCTGTACTGTGCACTGTATACGTTATGATTTGAAGCTTTCATGACTGCAGGAATCCATACTCTTTGGTTCTTTCGGTAAAGTAAAAAAACAAAGAGTATGTGTACGTTATATTAAATTTTTTAATTCTTATCCCACAAAATATATTAAGCATTTCACATTCTGACTTGTCAGGCTCGAATTGGGTCACACATTTAACTGGGCCCTTTGAGCAAGGGTTTTGTTTGTGCTAGGCATGGCGGGTTGGCAGGAAAGGTGGCAGGCTCCCAGGCCTATAGAGCCTCAGAGTACTGGCTAAAATATTGACTCTTAATTGCCTAGAATATGCCTTCGAAAACGGATGCATATGTTTCATAAAGGCAACTGCAGAGACAGCTTCGTAGAATATTCAACAGGAGCATCAACAACAAAAAACGCAACAAAGTTGTACTGCCCATTCTCGGTATTTGGAAAAATGCTGTCCTGCACACTACTTCAAAATGTTCCTGCCATTTATATAATCTGTGTTATATCATAGCTGGCCTATTCCAATCATTATTACACAACCGTACTCCCTTCTGTTATTATGCAAATATCAACGCATATTTGGGAAGCAGCAATGTGAGAAGCTGTCATTACGTCGTGGAAACTGCTTTACGGGATCCTGCTGCTGCTGATAATGATTGGCTGCATGGGAACAAAAATTGGTTTCTCTTATTGACCTGTTCCTATGGGTCACCTTTTAACCCCGAGCAAAATGTCTTAAAAGTCTGCATCGAATTTACAGTCCACTCATGCCTCGTTAAACTGAGCAGTAAAGTACTATGCATCTACTGCAGCTCTGCAGCAGTAGATGCGTAGTTCACAATTACACCCTAAAACGCAATTATTTGTAATGAAAGCAAACAAAATTGGAAACTTTAGCATTGCTATTAAAACCAAATACAAAGGATTTAGACGTGCATTTTATGCTGTGTTTTAAGTGTTGCCAAATGTTCCCTTTATTACATATATTTAAAAAAAATCAGACTACGGTAACCTGGCTACAGAAAAATGATTTCCACACCGCAGATATTGATTGGCTCAAAATGATTGCGTGACCTCTATTCTGTAATTCCACATTTAGTTTTTTGCAAATTAAAGCTACACCTCCAGCCAGCAAGGAGTGCCAATGAATTGCGTGCTTTATGTGCATCACATAAAGTTCAACATGCGATGAACCACGACATGAAATCTACATACAGCTACTGAGCAACCTTTTTTATATATAGAGTAGGCCATTACAACAAGATTTCAGAGAGAATAGAACCAGAGGCCACGGGTGGAGGCTGAGCAGAGGAAAGTTTCACAACCGAGACCAGGAGGCGATTGTGTTTTTACGCAAAGATTGGTGGGAGTCTGGAACCGGCTGCCCACTCCACACGTGTGTGTGGAAGCTGATCACTAGGACTTTTGGAAGAAAGGCCTCGATCAAAGCCTAGAATCGATCTGTGACTGGCAACTGAATGAGCTCGGTAGACCGAATTTCCCCTTCTCGTTTGTGACCCAATTTACGTTCTCAAGATCATTCCGCAGCCACTTATCTCGGTCAGTTAAACAAAATTAAAGAAAAAATGTGCAGGTTGAAACTGTATAAAAAGAGGTCAAAATATATAACTACGTTGTGAAATTCTAGATTTGAAGTTTTCGTGACTGCAAGGATCCATACTCTGGTTCTTTCGGTAAAGTCACGTATAGGGTAAATATTTTTTTATTAATGATTTTATTTTTGTTTTCTTTACCTACGTGACTTTACCGAATGAACCAGAGTATACGTTGTGAAACACTTTGGGAAAATCTGCAACACCTGGCAAGAACAGCAGGTGTGCCTGATAACGCCACAGCCTAAAACAGAAGTCACGTCTTATTCAGGTTTCATCAGCAGGACACAACGTGGAAACTACATCACTCTTACCACTTTTAATAGGGATCATCTGTATGCAGTTTATACTTTGTTCATAATCCAGGTCACTCGCCTGGATAATTCTAATTGTTTGACAACTGATGATACCTTTTACAGACAGTTTACCCTGGATGTTGGCAAATGTGTTAAGGAAAAGTGCTCTTGATGAATTTAATGACATTCCCTGCGGTAAGACGACTACCCCTTGTGAACTTAAAGATGCGTCTAACAGTCTGTCTATATCGGTGGCGATTTAGTCCTATATACACGGTGGTGGGATATCAGACGTTTTGGCTTGCTGTCACTGCATCTGCTTCATACGCGCTAATTATGTTAATCGTGTTAATCGCAAGTTTACCGACGCATTAAAGTGTTTGTGAAAATACTTTCACGTGAAATGCTAAAAGTTTTTTTATGGTGCTACAAACTACTGCATTATTTTACTACGGGACGATCATGTCAAAATATACCATTGGAAACGAGCCTCTCTACATGTTTCTGTTTCGTACGGTTGAATGATGTTTACATATTTTGTTGCATATTGTGTGTGTGTGTGTGGCGGGGGGGGGGAGGTTAAATCAACAATTGTGCTTAAATGTGTGCAGTCACGAAGAAATTGAAAGTGGCAACTTCTGGAACGCCTGGCCCGGAACGACCTCTTGTACTCAACCCCACAAAGCTCCCTTCCTCCAATCCACTATCGAGTGGGCTGCCACGTTTACCTTGTACAGGCGTGTCGTCTCGCTGAACGAGAGATATATATATACGTTCCGGCCGTGGTGCACCCCCCCCCTGCCAATATATCGG